GTGCTGATGGGGGGGCTGTGTGAGTGTCACTGTGGGGGGACCCGGCCCCATGCCCGGCACTGGGGCTGAGTGGGGAAGTTTGTGCTGCCGGTGCTCTGCCCGTGTGCTTTCTGCTGCTCGTGCTGCGATTCAGATTTCGATTTTTCTTGCATTTTATCTTTCCTACCTCCTCCTCCTTTTTTTCCCCCCCCCTACCCCGTAGCTGCAAGTTTACTGTCATGCTGGAACTATTCTTCTCTAAGTTGTCCTCTCTCCCGAGTTGGGATCGCCCCCGACACCCCCGGAATCTTTGCAATGAAAGAATGTCCTCCTCTGAATCCAAAATGGGCTCTCTCCTCCCTCCCTGCCTTCTGCCATTATCCTCACGCACCAGCTCTTCCTCTCGCTCGTGGTATTGCCAGCACCGTGGCCTAAGGCCAAGGGAGTTAGACAAAGCAGTCCTTGCAGTCACACATATTGCGTTCGGAGTGATAGGACTGCAGATGGCCCCCTCCTTTCTGGAGCTTAATTCCAAGTAGAAGGAGATTGCTTCTCTATTGTGCTGACATCGAATGCCCCCATCCAGGAGGAGAAACCCGAGGTTTGCTTCCGAACCTGGGGCGAAGGAACCCCCCTCCCCCGTCCTGCAGAGGAGAGGAAAACAGGAAATCTGTCCCTTTTGGCCTGAGATCAGCCCTGCAGAAGCTTCTCCGTGTGAATGCTAAGCGTTGTGGTCTCAGCCGACCGAGGGCTCTGGCCAGCAGTGGATCTCGCAGGGATTTTCCTCTGGGAGGTGACGCTGCTGCCCTGCAGTGCAGGGTTTTGTGCAGGGCTGTTGGAACCGCGTCAGCTCAGCTCCTGGAGCTGCATCCTTGCTGCAGAGAGAAGTCCTCCCAAGTTTGGGCTGAGAGTGACCACTGCAAAATCAGATTTGTTCCGTGCTCAGTGAGTGGCCCGGCTGGATGGGTCGCTGTGCTGTGTTGTACAGAAGCACGTTTGGGATGCACAAACCTGGGCTGGAGCCCTGAGAGAGGGGCTGGCTTGGGATGGGGCAATGTGGGGAGAAAGCCTCTGTGAGGCTGTGGCAGGTCTGGGGATGGCTGTGGGCATGGAAAATGGGGCTGCTCGCTCGTTACGTTGCACCAGACTCTGGGAAGGGTGTTGTGTTGTCAGAGCAGAATCTGGTACCTGTTCCTCCTGCCCAGGTCTTGCAGCATTTTGCCTGAATTATCCATCCCCTTTGTGGATCCCACACACTCTGCAGGGTGGAGCCCCTTTTAATCCACACAAATGCCTTCTCTGCACAGGAGGTAAACAGGAGCTCTGTTAGGGATCTGGGATGCTGTGTCTGTACCTTCACACCATCACCTGAGCCTACCATGTCCCCAGGCACCTCTGTTACCTGTTTTAATGTAACGTTTTTATTTGTTTTCTTGCATATTGTACTGAATATTGCAAAGTAGTACTGCTTCCTCCTCACCTGCCTTGTATCTCATATTGTTTAATTCTGTTCCTCTGTAAGAGGATCAACCATTGCACTGAGATAAAGTGGAGCATCTCTACCAACTTCAGTTGAAGCAGAGGGATTTGCACCAGCTGTGACCAGGTCTGTAGTTTGTCTTTTGACTGACATTCATCGGTCGGATGGGTGCATTCAGAGAGTTGCAGTCAATGGCTCAATGTCCAGTTGTGTTCAGTGAGTTGATGTTCAGTTGCAGTCACGATCTGGATGACCAGGTAGAGATCAGGGACAAGCGATGCTCCTCAGGGCTCTGCAGTGGGACTGGTGTTGATTTAACAGATTTAACATCCCTGGTGAGTTTGCCAGTGACCCAAAACTGCGTGATGTGGTCAGGATGCTGGAGGTGCTCGAGGCTGGGCTGGGTGGGGCTGTGGGCAGCCTGGTCTGGTGGGAGGTAAAGGTCTGATGGTGTGTGACTAGGTGAGCTTTACAGCCTCTTTAAACCAAACCATTCCGTGATTCTGTGTTTGTATGGTTTTCTCTGGTCCAGGGCCTTTCCTGGCTCTGTTGTGGATATCTACCAGTTTTGTTCAGGCACATGTTCGAGAGCAGTAGTTTAAAGGTCCAGAAACCAGCAGAAAGAGCTTGGATTTTCCTTTGTAATTTCAACTAGAAATGTTACCATGTTTCAAGACAAACCCTGTTCCTGTAATAAAGCTTGAAAACTTCTGTGTTTAGGAGCTGGAGAAGCAAGATGCAGCAGACTTTGGCAAGAGAAAGGACAGTGCCTCAGCTCCCGGTTAGCAAATGGTGCTGCCATGCTGAGGACCAGCGGGGCTGTCAGAAGCTTTGTGGTAAAAAAAAAAGAAAAGAGAGAAAAGAAAAAAAAAGCAAATTCTCAGAGAGAGGTGAATGAAGAGGTGAATGAGAAAGATTCTTCCCTCACTGGGGCTGGGCTGCAGCTTGCAACTGGGGAGACCGATATTGTTCAGTCCTGAGATGTGATGCCCAACATGTTAGCTTATTTCTTATTGAGACTGCAGTGCAAACTTGCATGAGCAAATGGCTTGCTTGTTGCCCTGTACAGACAGCTTGGGTTTCACGGTGTCTGTAGTGAGGGGCTGCTTTTTTTGGAATGAGGGTACTGGAAAGACTACGATTACAAACAATGTGGAGAGCAAAGTGTTCATGTCTTAGCAGAGGGGATATTTTTTAGGAAATGTAGATGATGCTCCACTCCCAAACCCTCATGTTACAAACTGAAAATGTCAGGTTCCCAGGTCACTTGAAATCCACATGAAGCCATGAACAGAAAAGAGACTCGCTAAACATGTTTCAGAATGAACAATTTTTCAGTGGACTTGTTTGGACATTTAGGAAAATGGTGTTTTTGTCTTTGTCTACCAGAGCTCTTAGGTTCAAAGCAGTGACTGGCATGGTTTTCACAACCAGCACATCTCTGCGTCATCCCCACCCACCAGTCAGTTGAGTTGCAGGGTGGTTTTGGTTTGTGCTAGCTTCATTCCTCTTGTGTAAAAGTAAACCAGAAGCTGTGCTCCAGTTATGCAACTGGTGCTCCATCCTTTAGGGGAACATAGAGGTCCAAACCAAAGGCTGGACAGCTTTGAGCCATATTTGTGATGCAGACACCCAGTCTGGGGGATCAGACTAAATTCCAAACTTAAATCCTGCCCCTCGCCCCAGCTACATGTGGTATACACGTACCAAAGGCTTTGATCTTCCGATCCATTCTCACTGTGCCAAATAATTTGCTAATGTAGAAATGCCCTGTCTTCAGCTAGAATAGAAGAGCAGTGGGGAGGCAGAGGGACTGTCTTCTGTTTGTCTGATTTAAAAAAAAAAAAAAGAAAAAGAAAAAAGAAAGAAGAAAGGGAGGAGTTGGAAAGAGAAGAAATAAAACATGACCGTTATCCACATGGGAAGATTAAGTGGAACGAGAGTACTAGAGGAAAGGCCCTGAGTGTGATGGATCAAAAGAGCAAGGCCTCTGGCTGTTACGAAAAAGAATGTCCTATTTCTTGAGAACATATTTATATGTGTGTGTGCTGAATTTTTTTTGCTTTCAAGTGAAATAGTTTTATTCAAAGAAAGGTCTGTTTCTGCCACACAGGCTGTTTAAGGTGGGAAATAGCGGGTGAAAATAAAACTTTCACAGCCAGTCCTATAAGGAATGTTTTGTGCAGATGAGAACTAGGTCCATTATTTTAAAATTAAAAAAAATAAATTCTTTGGAGGTTGGGGGAAACGGGGGCTGACAGCATTTTTGCTGTGGGTTGGCATCTTCGTAGTGCTCCATGTGTTGCTTGGCTGTGCAGTAGGTCCGCTTGTATAGACGTGCGTGTGGTGTCCCGTGGATGGCAGGCAGCGCTCGTTGAGCTTAAGCCAAGTTGTGCAGAGGGCTAAGGAATCAAATAATCCCATAGTCAGCCAGAACTCTGCAGCTGCGGTTCAGGCTGTGTGCAAATACTGCAGAGATGGCTGTGGTAGGTGAGGATGTTGCCTCCCATCCTGTGCTGGAGGATCCTTGCCTTGCAACGTACGTTGTCCGCGCAGCTCAGAGCATTTCTCACGTGTTTTAATGCAAACTGGGCCACTTCAGGGCAGAGAAGTTGCATCCTCTCAGTTAAAATATTCCATCCTGGATATCTCAGACCGCATACCTGCAGGAATCTCTTACATTCTTGAGTACAAAGAGTTTGTAAAATGGCAGGAGCTTATACATGCCATTTTATAGGACCCTGCAAAGCGCAGTTATAGAGAAACACATATCCAGTAGGGTTAGCTCTTAAGTCAGCTCTACATGAGTAACTGGGCGAGGTGAGTAACTGTTTCTGATTTTGCTTTGCTGTGTCTGTGAGGGTGAAGCAGAGTGCTGTGGCCACCACAGAGGTGTCCCTGTGGACATCTGGGAGCGGATCAGGTGGGTCAGTGGATCAGTGGATCAGGCACACACGTTCCTGCCCCCGCTGCTTCCTTGTGGGGTGCACGGTAAGCTGCTTTTCCAGTTAGCTTTCCAGCAAGCAACAGCAGTAGGGGTAAGATCTGAGACTGGCATTGCTGCTCAGGCTTGGAAACAGTAGAGAAGAAACTGGATGGATCTCTGCAAACCTGTTGGAAATTGATGGGGAGATTCCTGGTCTGAGGGAGTCCAGGGAAACAAAGGTTGGTTCTTGATCCTTTGTCTTGCAGGATGTTACTGGAAGGGAGAGATTTTGACAAAAAAAAGAGAAACAAACAAAAAAACCCCCTCATTTCTATTTGCTGTATTGTTAGACCTTATCCTAATTAATGACGAATTATGTTGATTAGCAAGAAACTCACTATATTTTTGTGGGGAAAAAAAAAGCCTCTGTCAGTCTTCTGTGTGAACACAGAAATAAAAGACATTGTTGGCACAAGAATAAATGAGTATATAAAAGGTTTTGTGTACGTTTAATTAGGAAAGTGGAGGCAGGAAAGTGTGTACATTAATTTAGGTTTAACGCAGCAGCAAGCACTAAGACAATCTGGGAGGTGATGCAGAGTGTCACTCGAATTCAGTACAAGCACACTCCCTTTTCTGTCAGTTCCTAACTGTCTTGTCTCCATTGTTACTTTAACATGACAGAGCAAGCCTCAATTTAGATCCCCCCTCCTTTTTTTCCTCTCTCCAGTGAATGCCTAATCATCAAACGGATTTTTGACTGGGTCTTGGCTCTGAGACTCGTTGGCCTAATTTTTCCTCCTAACTGTAACAGCAATAGCTGGTGATTTTTTAATTGTTATTATTTTTTTTAATCTGCAGTGTACAGAATGTTCAGGCATGCAGATGTATTTCGGGTTAATTGACTAATAGTCATCTGAGACCCAGGGCTTCTCTTTGAGATTAACATACAAAGTGATAGGTCAGAAAGCCTAAGGTCCATTACCCCGTGAGATAATAATATCCCCGCAATTAATTTCATTTTCATGATTGCATCATCTTAAAATGAGGTGAAATCCAGGATTTTTCATCTTCCTTTCCTCCAGCAGAGTTTGGCTGGCACAACTTCTGGCTTGGGCGTGTGGAGCCGGTGCCACGGCCAAGCCAAATCCTTCCTTTGTTCTCAGGGCCTGCTGCTGCTGATAAAGTGGTCGGCGCATGGCATTATGTCTTATTACATTTTTGATGCAGACTGCAAAGAAACGGGTAAACTCACCATGGTTACCACGATCTGTCACTTGGCAGGGCACGCCGTACTCAGCAATGGCCTCTAGTGTCTGCTGCACAGCTCTGCATAGCGTGGGTACAGCAGACAATAAGCACCCAGCTGTGGAGCAGCACCAGGTAGGGCCCTGGCTGCGGGCAGGAGCCACATCCCAGCTCTGTCCCAGCTCTGTCCCAGCTCTGTCCCAGCTCTGGCAGTGGGTTCTCCCTCATTGCTGCCTGTTGAAAGTTCTTTGCTTGTGAAACTCCTGTGCTGAGTCTTGCTGCTGTCCACTGCGGTACCTTATGTGTGCAAAGTATGGTTCGGCCCGACTTCGCTGTTTTATCTTGCCACATCATGTTTTTAGTGGAGCTTTCTCTTATGTAGCCATGCCCTGCTGTGTTATTTCATCCAAATGAAACACACATCGTTTAAATTTGCATAACCTCAAATGATCTCTAATTATCTGTACTATTTTATCATTAGCCAATGATATGCTGGTGAAAACGGTCCTGTTTGCGTGGTGTGCAGCTGTGGGGTAAGTGTTGGTGAGGTCTGTTGAGTGGCCAAAGCAGGATTCCCGAGCCTGGCCATCCAAGTTCTTGCTCAGAGCCAGGTTGGAGCTTCCAGGCCCCGTATGCGTGGTGCTTGCAGTAGCAGCCTGGGAACAAGTCTTTACAGGATGCATCTTTTGTTTTATTCTATGGGAGCAGAAATCGCTAGAGTCTGTCTTTGCTTAATTGAGGTAATTAAATCTTTCTACCTTGCAGCACAAAGGGTTCATTAGTGTTTTGAAGCATTTTGAAATCACTGGAGGAAAGATGCTGTTTGCTGTTGTGTCATGTTTGATAAGTGTTGAAATTTCAAGTCATCTGGACTTGGAATATTGGCTGAGCTGTAGGTACAGAAACCTTGCCATTGAGCATGCACAGAGGGAAGGGCTGACTGGGAGCACAGTTGACTACTGTGGTGTTCCTCCCCAGTGCAGGACCCATGCTCTGTAGGTGTGTTTTGATTTTTTTTGCTGTTTGTTTTTACTGTGCTTCAGAAGGATGCGACTGTTAACTCCTCATGAAACCTTAGCAGTAGACACATGCAGTATAGTGCCATAAAACTTAGTGGCTTGGTTTGAAACAAAGATAAACCTTCCTTTTTTCAAATGGACCTCGTGACCAGCCCAGTTTACCTTCATTAGGATTTCACATCCAGTTAACTGGGCAGGATGTAGAACATACTCTCTTCCTAGAACAAAGACACCACCACAGTGATGACCTGTGATACATTCTGAAATGGAAAGAGTTCCCAGCCAAGGTAGAGTCTGTTCCACTGTGTTCAGCAGAGCTTTTCACAATGTAACTACTGGCTTTCTGTTTCTTAGTGAAGAGAAACAGGGAATGAAATCTCTTGCAACTTCTAAACAAAGCTAGTGGTTTACGTGGTTCTGAGCAGCAGTGACTTGTCAATGGTATAATTCAGGTTCATGTGGAAGGTGGTGAATAAGATCCCTTCCTCTAATGAAGGGCAATTGGGAATTTTTAGTGAGGGTTTCTGCAAAGGGAAGATTTGCAGGCAGCAGGAGGTCTGAGTCTGTGCCTGCAGGCAAGGAGAGCAGCACCAGTGGAGGTGTGGGGGCTTTTAACTGCAGGAGTGAAAGAGCAGCTAAGTCGAACACTGCCTCAGCCCTGAGTGTGCAATTCATCACCAGCCCGTTAAAGCTGTTGTAAAACAGGGAGCAGGATTAGGCCCTCCAAAAGAAATCTTATTTCTCAGTAACAAATGCTTACCATAGTGGGGTAGTGAAGTGTCTTGCTTCCCTGTTTCTGAAGTAGTTAACCAGTGATTGCATTGGTAGAGTCTTTGAGCTGACCCATAATCCAAAGAGATGGTTTTTTGCCTTTGATTTACTTACGTAGCACAGTTGGACAGGCAAAAGATGTTTGATATCTCACAAAGAGGAATAATGCTTAGCAGTCTTCACCTCAATGTCATACAATGAGCAGCAGATCTGATAGACCTCAACTGACTGTTCTCTATGAATAGTTTTGGCATCAGCTGAAAATAGTACTGAGGGTAACTTGCATTGACCATGTGATGACACTTTGAGTTGCAAAATTGCTTTCAGATAACTTGCACTGAAAAAGTAAAAATAGCGCAGGGCGTTAGACTCATCTACGTGGAATGTATATATGCAAAAATAGGGCTCCTTAAGATTTAGTTTGTCGAGGCAGAACAAGTTGTCATGTTACACTGCTTCACTTTTAGACAAACAATTTGCACTGATAAGGTTGCAGGCTGTGCTATTTTGAAGTGTACAGCAAACATTGGGGAAGCAGTAATTTGTCTGTTAGTAGGAAGTAGTGTGGCTCTGGCATCAGCTGGCTTAGAGTAAGGTGAGAATTCACAGCTTAAGAAAAGAGGAAAGCCACCTGAAATGTGTTCCCATGTAACCGACTCATCCATCTGGAGATAATAACAAGCATTTTCTCTTTTTTCTCTGCAGCTGGGAGTGTTCACTCTCCTTCCACAAGTATGGCAACGTCTGCGCAATACAGGCAGCTGATAAATGACTACGGGCCCCCATCGCTAGGGTACACACAAGGGATACAGGTATGGCTCTGCTGCTTGTTTTTTCTTTCACCAGATCACTGACCCTATGACTGCACAGTATCGTGGATAGTGGCCTGTAATCTGAGGTGTTCCTCCCTCTCACTAAGGTCTGAAATCAAACCCAAATGGCAAACTGATTCATCACACGTATCTTGGGATCGAATTAGACTAAGCAGAGTGCTGAGTGAGATTAGTTACTAATTAACTGTTAGTCCCTTTCCTTCTGAGTCAGTGAACCATGTCTTGAGTTATGTTCTGGTAGCAAGGGCTGTTACATGCTTTTTAATCGTTAGAAAAGTAATAGTCCTACACCTTTAACTGTTTGCCTTGGACAAACTGCTGATTTAAGATTGACAGTCTCATGAAGCATGTTACAGACATACCTATGGGCTGGTGAACTTTCTGTGACATCTGTTTACCACTTAATAGGATTTCCTCTACTGTACGGGCAGTTTTGTTTTATCTGCTCTTCATTCTCTCTAATACAAAATATACATCTGAACACTGATAAAGACAGCAAGAGGGTTCAACAATTAGTTCTCAGTTTGCTGTTTTTGTAGGACTGTTCTAACTTCTGCTTCATCTCAGGCTCCAATCGTGCAGCTGCATCCTACGTGACTCCACTTTTTGAAGGGCACGTAGCATTGTGTCCAGCCACAGCAGCAAAGGCAAAAAGAAAATCATGTTTATGTAGCAAACCTGACAACTTATTTTTTTAAAAAAAGTGGCTTCCTGGGGTATTCAGTGAATTTCCAGGTGCTGTTTGTTCCAATTGTTTTGGTTTTAGTAGCATTTAATTGAGATTAATCTACTTCCAATTACAGGGTACCAGCAGCAGTCAAGTACCGCAGAGCAAATATGCAGAACTTCTAGCTATCATCGAAGAATTAGGAAAAGAGATCAGACCCACATATGCTGGGAGTAAAAGTGCGATGGAGAGGCTAAAACGAGGTAATGTTTAGAAAAGAGAAATGTATATTTTAAGGTATCCCATATTCTTTGTGTACTGACTACTTGTAGGCAGCTTCATAACAATGGTCTCCCTTGAATGGAGACAGCTGTATTGAGCTTGTTGTTAAACTGAGTGTATTAATGAGCAACTAGAGCTCTGGTATGCTCTATTCTTGCTGTATTTAATAGTGGCCAAATGTGTTTCATGAGCACAGGGAAATTTTCAGTTAATAATTCAAACCTTGTTTTAGAAGCTTTAAGTTGTCAGCTGGACATGTTCTGCTAGGTTCTTGGTGACTTGCTTGTCCTTTAACTGTGTCTTCTCTCTAACATCCAAAATACACAACCAAACATTGTTTTCATCCTCTGATAAACGTCACTCACCTCCTTGACCCAGGAGCTCTTACTGAAAGGCTTAAGGAAATATTGCTTTGTGTTAAGTTGCACTGAGGCTGGTGGAGAGAACAGCTGGGGAAAAACAGAAAGGGTTTGTCAGTGAAGGCTGTTGAGAGTGAGATGTCAAACATACTCCTCCTCTGCATGGTATGGGGCCACTTAGACTCCATTACCTGTTTCAAGTGGATGTCATTAGGAGGCTGCTGCTAAGGGACATAGAAGCTTTTAGGTCTGGCTGATGAGGTCTCTTCAGCTTTGCTTAGTCAGCTAAAAGAGGTCACATAAATGCCCTTTCCTTTGCAGTGTAAAAGGAACCCCCACATGCCCTGCTGCTTACGTCAGCTTGACATTGTCCTCTGCAGAGGACGTGCAAGGGGTATTTGTGAAGGAGCAGTGGGACATTCCATTGCTCCTAAAATGACCCTGAATGCCACCTACAATGGATGTGCTGGCATTTCTGTCCCTGGCCAATACACAGAGTTACCTTTTCCTCCCTTTCCTTAGTCCTTGTGCTGAGTTTGGCTCACTCACTTCAACCTGAACGGCAGTGTTACTGTAACAGACTAACATCTCACCACCTTGCAGATCCCCCTTACACTCACCCAAGACTACAAAGCTTTATTTAAGGCTCAACCATTATGGGAGAGTAATATATCTGCCGTGACGAGCAATAAAATGACTAGTAGCTGTTCTGGGAAAGGATGCAATAAAGTCTGCTGATGAGTGGTAAGTGGAATCTAGCCCAGCTAAAATCAATGTTGCTGGAGTCTCTCTTTATTGCATTGCCGGAGTCAGTATTAATAGATCATGAATGGCAATAGGCTAATGGGGACAACTTGAGAGAGAGCAGGAGAGATGCAGAACTGTTCAGAGAATATCAGTTGGGTGAGGAAACGTTGTTTTGCTACTTCTTGCACTGAGCATTGATTTGTTCGCTAATGTAGGCTTAAGATTCAGTGCTGCCACTGTGACTGGCTCACAAATGATGCAAAAAATCCACATTAAGTACTTTTTGCTGCCATCTTTTGGTCACAAAGGTACATCTCTTTGCATTTTAGGAGCTATATGGCTGAAGGAGCATGTGCAAGTGTGAGAGCAAAGTGAGTGAGGGTAACCACGTGACGGCAGCCTCCATGGCCACGAGGAGGTTACTGCTGAGTAAAGTCCCTGTCCCCTGCTCCATCTGCTCCTAGGGACAGAGGATACTGACCTCTAAAACTGGCTAAATTCCCAGCGTTCTACATAATTCAGGGTAGTTCTTCTGCATAAACTGGGCATCCTGCCATTAGATCCAGGTCTAGTATACTGCTTTGATATGCGTTTCTGCCTCTCACAGCTGTAGGAGGATGCAGCTTTACTTGTCTGCCTTAATTTAACCCTGAGCAAAGCCATCCACCCATCATGTCCTCAGTCTCTACTTGAATGTAGAGGCTGTTGCTGTGATCTGGGTTAGCAGCCTTCTAGAGACAGAATCCATTACATCTAACAAGAGATTAAATCTCTTCTATTGCCTTATTGTCATTTCTTCATCTTGTTAAGGAGCATGACCGAGCAGAGAAATCACCTCCCATCTTTTCCTGATAGTAAAATATAACCTTGTTAGTTGTAGAAAAATCTGTCTCCCATCATAAAAATCTAACTTAAGCTCTGTTCTTTCAGCAGCTCTGTGAACATGAAGTTCCAGCATTAAGACTTGAGGTCCATGCTGCTAGAACTCAAGACAGAAGGACTCTGTGGAAAATTCCACACAATGCCTATGAGAGTAGATATGGCAGCATGTAAAGCAGTGATGATTTATACTGGGAGTTGAGCCAGTTAGGAGGTACCTTTATGCACACGGCATTACAAGATTTCTCTTATACAACTTGTGCTTAGGCAGTACTATGAAGGCTTGGATTTTGATGCATCCTCTTGTAGAAGAATTGTTCCAAGGCATTAATTAAGGCTCTTAGGCCTTGCTAAAACGACTCCCTAAATAAGTTGTTTTTCACCCCACAATACCAACATAACTGACAGGTTGATTTTTTTTTTCTTTCTAATTAAGTTTCTCATTTTAATAAGATACTGCACATTACAATGTACTTGTCACTGCAGCCCTGCAAAGCTCATAATGCTCTGATTCCTTGTTTGGTCCATTTTCAATCCCTAACACCAGTTTGGGAAAGCAAACTTCTTCAGCAGTGGCTGATGTTAGGGCAGGGAGGGCTCTCTCCATTTTCTGTGTTATGCTGTGGTAGCCTTGGAGACTCGGCAGAAACACATAAACCTTTCTGTGAACTGTCACTGCAAATGTCACCTGAATGAGATAATTTAAAATATGCTCAATTCTTTTGCAGGCATTATTCATGCTAGAGGATTAGTTCGGGAATGCTTGGCTGAGACTGAACGAAATGCAAGATCCTAGCCCATGAATGCAGTTACAAGATCTTCCATCTCTTAATGAAGAAAAAGTAATGCCTACTCATTCTGACTCTTGAAACATTCAGACAAATTCCTTTATTTTGAAGGTTTTACCTTTCTTTTTGCCTTTAAAAATGTATAGTGAAGAATAACAAAACAAGGATTTTTCAACTTGCTGAGGGTTGGCATTTTGTAAAGACACTAAAACTCCCTAAGGCATTTCTAAACCATGAAAACTGAACTGCATGCAGAGGAATGCTCTCTCCTAGGCTATATTTCAGTTCTCTTCCTATCCAGCCACAATCCCGTTGTTGGGTTTTTTTAAATCCTTTTTACTGTTTCAACGTAACCCCAAACTGTCAGTCTTTCAAAGTTTGACATAAGCTGTAAGGACTTTTTTTTTATTAAATAAATGCAGAATAGCATGCTGTACTTAGTAGTCTGCTATGCCACAATTTGCCATACAGCATAGACCCTGCTTAAAAATAATAACCTTCTCCTCCTCTTACTTTTCCTTTTTTGTTCATTTTGCATAAACACTTGCATGACTAATAGTGCTTTGAAGTCCTTTTAAAGTGCATGAATTATATGGAAAATAGGGAAGCCTATTAAATAATAACAAGGTTCTGGAAAGCTAATTTCTACATTAAGGCTGGAGATTTCAGTTTTAAGTTTGCAAAAAAAAAAAAAAAAAAAGAAAATTCTGGATAAATTACTAAAACTTATTTGCATCTTTTTATGTATTTATTACTTGATGTAATAAAGCTTATTTTCATTAACAGTTTGTATTAAAAGTATCTACAGTCACTTTGTTCAGATTCACACATCTGGTATGAAAAGCAAAGATTTAACCTTCATGCAGGAGGCTCACATTCAGGAAGAAGGGAACAGGCCTGCAAACTGTTGGTCTGTTTTCATTGAAGGTACAGTCCTGCTGCAGTCGACTTCTGTCAGAGGATGGTATTGTTGCTAGTAGTCTACCTTGCTTTCAACATACACAGACAGCTTGGCTTCTTGAAGCTGTTTGCCTTTGTTATCAAAGGTCAGAATGCAGTTAGCAGCCTGTGAGGGTTCTGCTGAAAATGAGAGAAGTTCTAGTTAAGCAATTAGTAACTATTAGCAGTATTAAAATAGTGATAAGCCCGATAAGCCCTCACTTGTAGGAATGCCTGCCTTCCCTCCTCAACAACGCTCATCATCACTGCAGGTAAAAGCTGTAAAGCTATGTTTAAAATTCCTTCAGAATTGAGGGAGCTGGAGCATTTATGCAGGAAGTTCAACTAACAGATCTGAAGGAGACAGTCAGTGACTGGTGGTGCTTTGTCTCAAGTCTGTGTACTCGATCAGAGTATCACAGAGCAGCTTTTTCAGGTCCCATCTAACCCTGGTCACTTCATGCAGGATTTATATCAGTGCAGGCATTGTCTAAGTAAGGATGGAATGTTAAAACCTGTAAGGAATGTTCTCCTTATGTACTGGAACGCCTATGAAATAGTACAAGGCAGAAACTCAGCAGAAAAAAGATTCTTAAATACAAGTAATGAGATGATGGCAAACAGAAGTAAGAACACACTGTGTGCTTTAACTCTTCAACTTTACTGTAAGAGCAGGTCAGGTCACTACTCAGTACTTCTGTTGTGCTTATGGAGCTCATTGTTATACATCAGTCAGAAAACTATGCACAGCTATGACAAACTTCTCCCTTATCCTACCAGAGCCAGTCAGTATTTCATGTTTATTTCTTGTCCAATTGTAGCATCTCTTTAAAGTGCTTTTTCCTTTCTAGGTTTTCTTTTGCTCTTCTTTTTTTCTCCTGCTTCTTCTTCTCTGATGCCTTCTTCTCTTTATAAACATCACTTTCTTCACCCTTGTAGAAGAGGTCAACCTTTTCCTGCAGGATTTCTCTGGCTATCTTTCGGTTCTTCTCCACTGATCTTGTTTGATGGCACTGAAGAAATACAGGAGGACATCCTTATCACAGCGTTCAGCTGTTCATTTTTCTGTTTTCCTGCTAAACCTTTATATCCAGACAGCCCCAGGTTATTTATCCGTTAACCAAACCTGCTTCTTGCCGAGGTACTTCACGTACGCATAAACCCTTCTGCGACAACCATGCTGAGATTATGACCGACCATAAAAGCAAACTTGAACACCACGCAGCCCTTGCCATAATGAAAGAAAACACAATTACCTTCACCACAATCCCTGACGGAACGTGCTTCAGGACAACACAGTTGCTGGTCTTGTTAGTGGCCTGCCCTCCTGGGCCATCGCCCCTCACAAACTGCTCCTTCAGCTCCGCCTCGGTGAGCGGCACCAGCTGCAAGGAGCTCCTCTTCCCGGCTGCCCACGGCGAGGACCCCCGGCTCAGGGACAGCCGCTGCGTCCTCCATAGGGCTGCGCTGCGTGCCGCCCGAACGAACGCGAAGGTGAACGAGTTCGGAACGCTCATACAGAAAGGAGCTTCTCTGCGATGGAAATTAAAGCGCAGCTGAGGAAACCAACGCGGAAGCTTGCATCTGCAAGTAAGCGTGTCTGCTTGGTGGCACTAGAAGGTGATTTTTTTCTTCCGTCGCTGAGGCTGCATCTGCAAGAGAACCCAGAAGCGCGGTCCCGCATCGACCCGAGCGGAGGCGGCAGCACGAACCCCCACACAGCCCCGCCGCCTACCTCAGGGCCCCGGGCCGAGCGCCATACTGCGCATGCGCATTTCCCTGCGCACACGGCCCTACGCGCACTTTCCGTCACATCTGCACATGCGCGGCACTTGGAGGCGGGGATGCTACCCCGCTAATTGGCAATCACCACAACCAATCGCTGCGCACGGTGTCCTTTCGCATGCCCCCCCACGTTCTTTACCAATCAGGCTCTGTGAACCGTCCGGCGCGTAGTCGCAATAGCCAATCCCCTGGCGGCGACGTGCGTCCTTTCCCTCTCAGCCAATCAAAGTGGAAGGCGCGCCCTGGAGCGCGCACAAGGTATCCAATCAGCGTGCGGTCTCCTCGCCGCAGCGCCCCCCCCGCCCCACCGCGTTCGAAAGTGGGCCGCCAATCGTCGGGGAGGAGGAGGGAGCCGCGCTTGTTTATCGCTGAAAGGTCGCTGAGCAAAGCCGCTCCCGGAGGGCTCTCGGCAATCTCCCGGCAATGCGGGTAGGCATCGGATGAGTCCCGAGGACAGCGGGTGAGGCGAGAGTCCAGCAGCAATGCAGCGCTTGGCCGTACCTCAGCGCCGCGAGGCCACCCGTACCGCGCCGCCCCTTCCTCGCAGAGTGGCAGCGCTTCCGGCCAATCAGGGGCGGTGGCGCCGTCAACATCCCGGAACGCGAGGGGCAGTAGCCAATGGCAGCGCGGAGGCGGGGCTTCGGCTTGAGGAGAGGCAGAGCGGTGGCGGGTTGAGGGGCGGTCGGCCGTGAGGGGACGGAGCTGGAGGGATCACGGCGGGTGAGGGCTGGGGGGGGATCGGGGCCTGAGGGGCTGTGGCAAGGGGAGGGAATGGGGCAGCGCTGAAGGCAGAGGGGTAATTAGTGGGTGGCGAGAGGGGGTGCGGGACCCTGAGGGGACAGAGAGAGGGGCCGCTGTGAGGGGGAAGCGGGCGGGGGTCCTGGGGAGGGCCTGGCAGCAGGCGCTCTGCGTGGGGAGCAGGGCGGGGCCTGGGGCCGTGCCGGCACCCGGAGCCGTGCCGATGAGTTAAATACCTCCCGGCTGACTTAATCCCCGCTCCTCCGTGCGGGGGTTTGGCAGAACGAGGGCTTGTGCTGCGCTATGGAAACAGCAGGTGACAGATGAGCTGCTCTCGGCCCTGTTGGAGCTCCGTGTATGTTTCATTGCGGGCAGACTTCTAACGAGGTTATGAAACACCACAGCTAAGGCCCACCTGTCTGCTGAGGTAACTGGGGCACCGTGGGCACAGCCCGGGCTGTCTGAAGGCCCCCCCACCTCAACTGCATGATGACCTTCGTGTCCTCGCACTGCTGGCCCTGGCAGAAAGAAGAAATGAGCTTTTTCGCCCTCACTTCCATTTCTCCAAGGAAGCTCTGTGGGACTTGTGGATCTGTGATAACTTCCTTCCAGGTCTTGCATTTTAAGCTGTACTCTGAGGAGTTTGAGTAGCAAGCTGCCAACAGAGCATTTTACTACAGGCTGCTTCACTTTAGCAGTAGGACAGAGATTAATTGGACAGCTGTCTAGCGGTTTCCTTCTGGTAGAAATGAGTTTTTACACTTTATCAGTGTGAGATGTGCTGGTGTACTTACAAGTAATGGAAGCTTAAATCCCTGAAAGTCAGCAGCATGTCCTTGTAAGCCCTGTAAAGAATGGCTGTGCTTTGAAGGTATTTGGCTGCTGCAAGGCAACGAGGATTTATTCTCTGTATGACCACAGGCTGCTGGGATGACATTTCTTAATGCCTCCTTTTGTTCTACCAAACAATCATAAGGTTTTCCTGCAGTGTAGAGCATGGGATGGATTCACCAGGGCAGAGCAGATGCTGAAGTAAGCACTGTAGAAGAACTGATTAATGTATGTATGTATTTCAAGTGCTTTTGTTCTTGATGAACAAATCGAAACTGGGAGCATACTTAATGTTGCCATTCTTGTAAACTGCTGCTTTGAGTGCTACAAGACCAATGCACAAGTATTTTTTATATATGTGTTTATAATGTGGGAATTTGGTTTGTGCTTAATTGGTGTAAAAAAAAAAAAAAATCTCAAGCAGTTGTAATGCTTTTTGAATTAATGTTATGCAGTAATAATAAAACAAGCTAATGTGTGTGGGGGGAAAATTAAAAATGAGCCTGATATTGAGTACACAACCATCTATGCTCAAATTGGGCAGCTGCAGTCTAGCTCAGTAGTTCTGATTCTGTTTTCTGGGGTGGGCACAGAGCCTCTGGATTCTAATGGACTGAGAATAGGCCCCTACTTTTTAATTGTGCTCTACAGAAGTCTCAAAAACTGTGGAGCCCCAGCTTTGAAACAAACCAACAAAACCCACACCTGTGCTCTACCTGCAGTTTTGGGTTCAGACCCCCTTATAGGCCATTCTTATGTGGTGGGAATCTCCTCTAGACTTGTGAGAATCACAGCAAGTACAGTACTGACTAAACAGCAACTGTTAGCAAGCATAGCTGGGGGCAAGGGAGAGAAGTTCTTGGAATGCTGCATGTCCTGGGGTGGTTTGACTGAAAGAACTGCCTCTTCAATCAAATTCTGTTTCACCAAACTACAGAGTCATGTTATTATTATTATAATTTTTAACAGGAGAGTGATACTTAATTCATGTTTGCAGGGTATAATCATATTTGGATCTAAGATATGGAAAGTCATGACTCGGTGAATGCTGTGCAAGAGATCTCTTCGTCTTCTGCAGACTCTGATGTCAAAAATACCCACAGCTCTGTTTGCAACTTGAATTGTGACAGGTAACGATACAGATAATGATGGAGGAATTCCTAACATTTTTAGTCTTTTTGCTTTGTGTAGATACTATGCTTGCTAGCATTGTTACCATGGTGGCACTGCAATATATTTCAGGTTTTTTTACAATTGCAGATAAAATGCTTGATGAGAAAAGCCTCATTAAAAGAAGACTTAAATCATCCTTAAAAACTTACTGACTTCTGTTGACTCACGTCTCCTTGAGTGGAGGAGTGGGGAAACAGTCTTGGCCAAGTTAGAAGGGATTATTCTTTGTAAAGACCGTGTAGAACATTAAGTCATTTGTGGAATACAGTGGCTTAGAAAAAGGGAATTGTTTTTCCATTCTGTGCCCAAGGTATTTCCACCGAATAAGGAGGGCAAATACAGAGTAGCTGCCCACCTGCCAGATCAGGGGAGATTCTTCTCGACTTGCTGTAAGAACTGCAGGTCGCGTACTGGTGCAGCTTCTCAAAACAAGGCTGTGGAGCTGAACTTTGTAACTCATCATTTCACTGCACGTTGGCATTTTCTTGAAGAACATCTTCATTCTTCTGAACACAGCGCATTTATCTTTCAGCTGGATTAGGATCGCGGTGTAAATTAAGCATGTAATTCTTTGACGGCTCTGTAGCATCATCGTGGCTGCTATGCTGGACAGCTGGCACAGTAAATAATTGAAGTTTTTCCTCGTGTTTCACAAGGAGCCCCTCAGCCAATCCCAGTGGAGTTTCTGGTTACTCAGGGAATACCAGGTCCTCCTTAGTTGCTGCCTCTGTTGAGCTGCTCTCCTCCTACATGCGGGATATCCAGCACAGCGGGAAGGCTGACTCTGAAACTGTGAAGAACTGTGAGGTACTTGTTAAGGCTTATTGACAAAGAAATAAATGTATCAATGCATCTGCTCTCCATTTTGGAAGGTGGATCCAACGGTGGTATCGTGCAGCAGTAAGGGATTACATAAATGTTTATTCTTTAATGGGGCAGATCCACTTATTATGCTGTGAACTGATCACACAGATGGATTTTGTTGTGATTTTTCTTATGTACGAGTGTTTTACAGTAACAGTACTCTGTTTTTTTCAGTGCTAGGATAAGGATTCCAAGTTTTTTTTTTTAATTAAAACTTTAAACCTTTAAAACTGCAGCACTTCATGCTCAAGTCTGAAGTGATCCTGGAAATGAGTTGATATTTTTTCTTCTATGAATGACACTGTTTCCGTTCTATCATTTATTCATTCAGTTTGTAAACAGGTGTAGATTATTAGTTTTTCAGATTAGGAACAACACAAAGGTAGTAATTTATGTACAACCAGCTCATTTGCTCAAGCCCTTTTAAAATGTTTTTCCCTCTTTGTGTTATGTTTGATCATTATTTTTAGCCTCTGTAGGGAACATCAAGTTTCCACACCATGGACTTGTTCTTGCAGAATTTTTGAGCTTTCTGGCTGTGGTCCAATAAAATGTCTTCTGACAGATGCTTAATTTGGTGCTCTTTAACAGATCCAAGGAAAGAATGTAGATGTCTGTGTTCTGTGTTCTAGACTTCAGCATTACACAAATTGGGCTGTACTTTCCTTCTTCTTCTTCTGTCTTCTGCTTCTTTCTGTGGTGTTATTACTGTCTCCTCTGACTGAGGCAATGGGGGACTGCATGTATTGTGGGGTGCACAGCCCAGTGCATAGCGGCACAGCCAAGTTTATATGATGTCCAGCACAGAATTGTAATATTGCAAAACTGTTGTGCACCTAGAATGAAAGGTGAGAGGAGCAACGTGATCGTGCTTTAATTGTTCTACTTTGTGATTAAATAGGCAAGGTGGCTACAGCTGTTGAGACTGGTAGAGAAACAATGCCAGGAACAAATAGCTGCCCAGCAAGAACAGTTCCACCATCAAATCCAAGTAAGTAATGATTTATTCATGTGGATAGGTGAGGCTGAACGTTTCTTTTTCTTTCTTTCCCTACATTATGGCCTCTGGCACTTCCCAGCCTTCCCATGAGTGTGCTGGGCCTGTAATTCGGGCTGGTAGTAGAAGTGGATGTCTGGATTGCCAGTTTACAGGATGAATATTTGAGGTAGTTGTGGCTAATTAAAAATGTAACTGGTAGGAACCATTTCAGCAGTGAAATTTCTTGGCTTATTTATCTGTCTTCACAAGCATACGATTCTGGATACCCTCATGATAACTGGACTTTTTGGGCACAAGATGTTTTTAGTAACTGTATCGTTTGGAATCTTGAGGCAATACAATTTTCTTCTGGTAAGAAAACATAGTTTCCTCATCTAAACAATATAAAGCATAGGAAAAAGCCCTTGCTGTGATAGCTGAGCACCTCTTTCACCTTTTAGTTCAACATTCTCCTTTCTGGGAATGAAAATTGACACACATGATGGTTCATGTTTTTTGCAGAAGTATAATTATCAATGAAGCCAGAAGAAATGTGTATGTATGCATAAGAGACAGTATTCTGTAAATACCAAATGCTTAATGTCTTCATCATTTTGGTTGCTGTTTTTCCCTCCCCTTACGCCCTCTGCACTAGTAGTAACCAACAGTTCCTGCAGTGAGTTAACAAGAGGTACTGTCCTTTTATCCTATCTCCTGTTTCTCCCCTTCTGCCTTTTTTTCTTTTCCCTCTCCCACTCTGTTGGTTTTGTCCCACCAGTGTTTCCTTAGCCTGTATTTCTTCCCTCTGAATGTAGTGGTTTGATTCACCCGTTGCTTATGGTAGTCTTGACTAATCTGTTGTGTTGGCTGTGCTGTTTTTTGTCTTTATTAATAGGAAAGGATACCTCTGGAAGAGTTTTGGTTTTGGTATCAGCAGGGACTTAGCAGCTGTGTGAATTACCACACTAAATACAAAGAGCAATGAGCGTAACTTAATTGCAGTTGTGTGATAAACTAGAGGGAGCTATTCCTAACGAACCACTATGCAGGTGACCTAATAAAAAAAAGGAAATTCAACACATTCTAATAAGAATAATAGACAAAATTAATAATCCTTAATGACAAACATTAAGTGGCAGCAGAGAATCATCTTTTTTTTCCCCCAACAACTCTGTTTCTTCCTTTTTTTTCTCCCCCTCAACCTTTTTCAACAGAGTTAAATCACAGAATTAAGTCTCAAATGGCTGCTGCACTTGTGAGTGAAGTTGCCAAAAACCTCCGTTATGGCAGAAACATCACCCTCATTTTCTTTTTTTCATTGAAAGACTGACCTGAAATTGAATTAATTGTAATGCAACTCTGTGAAACATGCCAAGCTTCATGCAGACAAGCATTACCTGTAGTTTCTCTGAAACGAAGCCTTTTTTATTATTTTGACAACTTCCAGGCCAAAGGACTCCCCCATGGGCACTGGCACGAAGGCTTTTTGTAGCCCTTGACAGAAATGTAGCTGTTTCAGTATAACACTGCACAGCTGTAAAACAAGCAACACTCCCCCCCATCTAAGACACTGAAAGAACTGTGGGCATTGCACACTGAATCACCTGCTAGATCTCTTCAGGTGATCTCCTCATAGGTTTGCTCCACTCTCAGATGCCAAACCAATCAGTTGTTTTGAAGCCAAGTTTTATGTAAATAATCTTACAGAGGTACATTATTCCTATTAGTGTAACAGAGTAATGGTTTATACTTCCATTAAAGCATCCTTGCAATCTTTAAAATTGTAAATCCAAATTATAAGTTCTTCTAGAATTAAATTTAACGTAAGACTTCATCCACTTCTCATGATATACCCAGATAACTTGGATTTCTTTAGGTGGCTGTGGATAACTGGTGTCCTAAAGGCATGCAGCCAATACCTGCATGCACTGTTTTTTGCACTGAGAAATGACTGCTCGAAACTGTAATTCTCTGCTTGGAACTGGGAGTTGTTACCATTCACCTTTACTGTTATGCACAGTATGCATTCTATCTACTACATGCATGAGGTGTCTGCGCATTGCAAAACAGGAATTATTTGAAATAAATGTTCCAGTTCTCTCACTAGTAACATGAATTGAAATTGCATCAAAATGTAAATGTGACTTAGAGCATGATCTCATGGGAATTTCCCCTTTTGTTTTTCTTTAGCTGATTCAGAATGAAATAAGGCAGTTAGTGAAATTGCAGACCAGCAGTTGGGGCATTGGCAAGAGCAGGAGTTTGCCTGGGAAGTCCACAGATGCCTTCTCGTCACTAGAAAGTCAAATGGGGATGCATTCTGAAGTCTCTGAAGGAAATGGATGCGTTGCCAATCAGCTCAGATCTGATGAAATCGAACTGCATCCCAGTGCCTCTGATCCGTATCAGGAATGTCTTGCAAACGATGCTTCCATGAACAGTGGGTACGGCACGCTGTCAGCCTCTGAGCTGAATGCTGGCACATCTAATGATGTTATCAAGTGCACAGACTGCATGGAGAGCACTGCACAAGGACAGGGTGATGCAGCAGGATTGCAGAGTAATGCAGCTGTAGGCAGCATTCAGCGTACCAGAGAACTTCTATCCAAACAAACTGGGGACTGCTCGTCAGGAAGGAATCGTGCTGGGGGTTTTCCTGCTGAATTGGAACATACGGTGAATGAAGATCAGTGCAGGAAAAAAAACGGGTAAGGAGTAAACTTTCCTAATCTGCTGATTTATTATACAGTACCCATTGTTGGTAACTAAGAGACACTTAAGAATTGAATGGAGCATCTTGATGGTAAGAAGAATTAGTAGAAAAATCTGCACAAAAATCCCCCAAGCCCTCTGCTTAGTAGACAAATGCATTTCTTTAGCTTGACGTTTCTGGGTGATGCATATTTGCATGTGTTGTGGTTATCTGTTGTTGTGCTTGAGGAAAATTACAAAACTCTGCTTCTTACTGTAAATACAAGCTGAGCTGCAGCCTGCACAGTGTTCTATCTGTGCACTGGAATTTTAGGTGCTGATTACTGACCTTACATGGCATTTTGCTGTTGTATCCAGACTTCTCTGCTAGTTTACATGCATGCATTGCAGTAGTACTTTGTATCAGACAACACCCAAAGGTGTGATTTTTCCTACTGTGTGTCTTTTCCTGTTTGGTTGATTTATTTTTGGTTCATTTGTTCTGCTCTGTCCAGTAGGTGAATAGATTGTAGCTGAACCAAAGTAGTGGTCAGTAACACTGTCCAAATACTCTCTGGTTATGCAGAATTTAACAGTGTGCCTTACTATCTCTGTTGGGCTGAAGTATAAAGACAGTGGCTTCATGTAAACATGGGCAATACCAGAGCTCACACAGGCAGCACGTTGTGTGTGAATCCTTGATGGTATTTGGTGGAGGTAAAACTTCCTGGCTGTTGGAAGAATGGGGGCTGGTGAAGATGAACTTGGTTTGGTAGTATGTCGTAAAACTGATGCTGCTTTTAGAGGGTTGGGTTTGGGGGTGTGTTATCTCAACGTACAACATAGGTGACAGTGCCATTGAGGTGCATATTTTCTCTTCCTTTCTATGGAAACTGATTTCTGGGGGGATTATCCCTTCATTACAGAGGGAAATATGTATTTATGGTATGTTTGTGTGTTGCTTGCCGTCCAGTAAATCTTTAACATCGTGGGCACAAAAGTTGAAACAAAACCACCCAAAAAGACTGAACACAGAAGAAGTACAAGTGAATTCTATGCGAGGAGACGAGCAGGCAAAGAAATCACTGCTTGAGAATGTAAGTCTTTGTTTTAATTTAATGTTAGTTTTAAATCTTACTCTCGTTCACTCAGATTTATATTTTTTTTGAGTTGTATGTTCTGATTCAGTACATGCTTTCATACTTAGATTTAAGCATTTGAGGAGCAGTGTTCCCATTCACATCTGAAGTTCTTGTGAGCAGAATTTACTTACTGGGTCATCCTATACCAACGTTGTCATTTTGACTTACTGTATTCCTTGCCTTGTTTTTGTCTCAGCTTGTCTTGGTGGCAGACATTGTTTCCTTACACAGATAGCAGTCACATTCTCAACTGAATCTTCAGATGGTGGTAACTCATGGTGCCCCTCAAATGAGAGGACTTCCAGCTTGTTGTATCCCTTTGCCTCTTCTCTATTTTTTCTTCATGTTCACAAACCTGATTATTTTTGGGATAGAGGTTTAACCACGTAAAACGTGTCTGACCTTAAAAGATAGGATACAGCATAATAGTCCAAACATTCATCATACATGTCACTGTGAAGTTCTGGGATTGCTTCGAGGGCATTAATCATCACAAACCTTTCTCCTTACTCTATTTTTTAAGGAAATAGTTCCCAAAACTGTGAATGACTCCACCTACAAGAGAATAGGAGAACTAGAAAATATGAATCATTTACTCAAGGCAGGGTCTCTTTTCGTTCCTGTGGTCACTTTGAAGGTGATCCAGGAAGGGTGAGAGTAGCTGTTTAGATTTGCTCTTTCGAGTCTGCTTCCACTGTCAGTGGAAACATGCTGTTCCTCTAAGGGGATATTTCAAACCACGAGTCTAATTACTGCTGTGGATTGTCTCCTTTCTTCTCTTAGCTTCAGGAGGATGCCTGAGGAAATTAGTGCCAGAAACTCAGATCTTGAATAAACCTCTATCTCTCTTTTCCTTTGAAGGGAAAGCAATTGAATTCTTACATTTTCCTTTCTCCCTCCTTAGGCAAAGGAGAATACCTAAATAAAAACATTGAAAGGGACAAAATAGCCTTGAGGTGAAAATCTACTTCATGGAAAATGAAAAGCTTTAGGCTTTTTTTTTTAATCTACTTAATTTTATTAGCTCAGTGGTTACAGTCCTACTTTAGTTCTCTGAGCTGTTCGAATTTGCCAAGCTGTGTGTCTTCTAAGCTGCTGTGATGGAACAAAAAGCCTGGGGTAGGGTAGAAAAGAGCAATGCGAGATGAGCGTTTCAAAGGAGGTAGGGGTAGTCAGTTGCTCTTGTATCAGCACATAATGGCAACGATGTTTCTTCCTTGGACTACTGAGAAGGAGGATTGTAGCAAATTTTTTTCCACCTATTGCTCCCAACTTTGTCAGAATTGCTTCTGTGTCTGGGGAGATTGCTTAGAAAGTTTGGAGTGCAGAGAAGCAGAATATGCACTGTCTTAAGGGGGATGTAGTTATCTTGTCTGTCTATGATGATAGGCAATATTTACTTCCTGCTCTGTGCTAGGTGGAGTCGTAACAGCTGACTGTAAGCAATTCCAGTCTTAGGATGAGGAAAGAGTAACACTGTATTGATGAGCCCTTCCTCAGCGTGCCTCTTAAGGAGCAGGGAGGTTTAGATGTGTTCTTGTGTAACACTTCAACTCAGAAATGCTCCCAAGTGCTCCGCCATGGGAATTGGAAGATGTCAGCATTATTCAATTACATGGCTCAGCTTGGTTCTCCTTGTGGTGGCAATTGTCCTACATACAAATTGTATAGATTAGGGCCATGATGCATAATTAAATGTAGTCTCACTTTTAAAATGATCTAACGATATTTCCATTCTTTTTTTATGGTTATACCCTTTCTTCTTTTTTCCTTGCTGTGCAGTTTTTGTTATTAACTTCTTTTTCCTGTTTAATTTTAGACAGACTCTACCAATGCTGCTTTGCCACCTTATGCTTTTTACCTCAATCAGCCATCTGAAAGCCCGAATTCTGCAGTGTCTGAAGCCTCAGGTACAGTCAATATCTTGTACTTGAAATTCCTTTTCTCTTGAATTCTTTGTTTTTTGAACTCTCACTGGAGTGCACCTCCAATAATTACAGGGAGCCAAGGAATGTCTGAGCACTGAGAAGCTGATAACTTTTAGTGTGGCATCACTCTGCTGCTCTCAGTGTTGCTGCTGGCAGATTTGGGACATTTCTTCAAATTCCTCAGTGTTCCAAGGCTGAGTTTTGAATTTAATATGGTTTTGTAACATAACTCCTGTTAAAGTTGTGGTGGGAGACAAAATGACCTTTTAAGATATTAATATCATTTCTTTAGCAATCGCAGGAATGCATGATAATAGAAGCAGAATTTCTGTAAGCCAAGGGTGTGATTCCATAGCTGTGTGAATAAGCACATCTCTCAGTCCTGGTAGTTTGTCTCTTTGCATACTGTGGAGTGTGGCTGAGCACCAAACAGAAGAGTTGGTAACATCAAATTTCTGCCTAGAATTATTCCTTGGGCAATGTCAGGTTTAAGTGCTATGCAGGAACTGTTAGAAATATGGCAGTTTGTGGTAAATGAGGATAAAACTTGAATACCTAAGAGTATATTCATGTATTTCCACAAATTTATACCTTGGGTTAGTGATGCTGTGTGATATAACACTGATTATGTATATTGCTTCTGCTTTGGTTTGAAAGTTTTTTAACTTCTGCTAATGAATACTTCATAAAATCATTAAGCAATGGATGCAAATAATGAGTACATCGTTCTTGTTAGCTGGCAGGGTAACATCCTACTAAAGTTTTTTGGGATTCCTGATCTGTGAGTTTGAAATTTGTGATTTTTTTTTTTTTTTTTTTTTTCCCCAATGATTCTTTTCATCAGGACTTTCATACTGGAAACTAGATGTGAAGGAGATGTATCACTCTTTACCAGAGAACTTCAGAAGCGAGTTAGCTGGTGTTTTCTCCACTAAAGTATCACCAGACCAGGTGAACTTTGCATGTTTTAGGAGTTGTCTTACATTTGTTTGTCATCTTTGCTCTCTTCTATAGTGGAATCAGCCCTCCAGAAGTGAAGTGTTCTGTGAAGCCCCCTTTGTTTTCCCACTGTCTCTTATTCTGTTCCTTCATTATTCGTTTTCCCCAGCTTCCTTCACTTAGAGTTTACTGACCTTCTTTCATCGAAAAGAAGTGGTGTAAGGGTCAAAGAGACTGCCTAGTATATTAAAGGCATATTTGCCTCATTAAAAACACTTACTCAAATTAGGTGCTGTGGATAGAGCCTGTCTCCATTCTGAGCTGTTTCGTTAGCCCCAACGCCCCAAAGGTTACTTACCTCACTTGGGATAGAGGATTGTGTTCAGAAAGACTGATGTATAAATTTTGCCTGTTTAAGTTGTCTTCTGCTGATGAAATGAAGCCATCATCACTGAAGGATATTTACCATAAAAGACAAAGGGAAAACAACCAGCTGCCAGAGATGAATTTTATGCCGCCTTCTCAGACAAGTCACCCACCAGAGGTAAAGTTATTATCTATGTTTCACATCTCAGTTTGAAGATAAGATAGGTTATGGCTGCTTTCCCATTAATTGGCACCTGCTGCCACCTCCAGTGTTATGCTGGAACAGCAGTTTTTGCAGCTGTGTGATGAACAAGATTGGGAAGTGATCCAGCTGAAAAGAACCTCTAAGAACACTGTGGATGAACAAGCTCCTTTGCAGCACAACCTTGAAGATGGTGCAAGGGCACACGTGGAACTGCAGCTGCAGAAGCAGGGTTTTCTTCCTGCTACCTACAGGACAAGTTTCTTCTACCCATAAAACTGAATAGGCATAGCCTGTAGAACTGTTCTTTAGAAATCTATTTCTATCCCACTTCCAGGATACAGTCTGCAGTCTTTGCTTGCATGTGTGGCTGTCTTGTCTATGTAATCCATGAAGCAATTTTAGTAACAGTATAAAGCTGTTGTTTCGGCCTGCAAACAGACATCCTAATTCTTCTATATTTAGAACTGAAGTCTTGGAAGTTTTCTGGACAGCTACAGATGCTAGATGTGTCTTTTATTGCTATTGGGAACTCAGAAACAAGTTGCAAACTTTTGAGTGTGTGTGCCGTATTCTAAGCTGCTACACATCTCCTCTGCAGTTGCTTGTCAATATCAAATAATTGTAGTAATATTCAGTGTAATTCCTGCAGTATATTACATGGATGAGTAATGCCTTCAGAGTAACTCCATTTGCAAGAACAGAAGTTAAAACGTGTGGGGTTTGTTTTTTTTTTTTAGCATTATAACTTATTTCCTAGATCTTGACTTTGGACCCAACCCTGCATATGAAACCAGGTCAACAGAATCCAGGACATTGTTTTTTCAATATTCCTGAAGAGAGTGCTCCTTTTTCTCCAGACTCTATGGCAGATCCTGGATTTTCAAGTCATTGTGACACTGACTCATTTTCACAGACAAGCAGTTTGTCTCAGTTCGATGATTCTCCAAAACATCCTGCCAGCAGCAGAGCTGTGCATGTGGACTTCTGGAAAAATCATCCAATCCAAAATGAAGACAAGGCCAGCTCTCCCTTTCCTGTGGCATATGCTGATGCTAACAGTGATGTTTTAGTAAACACTGAGGAGGAAGAAACGCTGACTCTGACTCCATCCTCTGTTACTCATTGTGGTGACAGGAGTTTTCCAGACCCCGGTCCTTCAGTGACATCTGCTGAAGATCCTGTGATAATGTCAAAGTAAGTTCTTGTTTTGTTTGGTTTTGCTTTTTAAAAAGTAGAGTTCAAAGCTTAGAAAATAGCTGTGCATTGCCACCCCTTCTCCCATCCCTTTTCCTTTCTCCCTGAATTACAGGCAGTTAGCTTTGAGACAGAACAGTCATTTACCACTTCTTGTAAATGCCTTTCAGACCTTGGTGTTTCATCTAAGGCACTTGAGCTCCATAGATGTCACAGCCTTAACTGAAAAGCAGAACGATTTTCTGTTTTAACGTTTTTATTATGTCTGTTGATATATAAAAGTAAAAATACATGCTTGCTCCTCAGGCTGCATGAGGGAGTTAATTTAGGTAGAGATTTCAAATTCCTATGGTATGGTATTTATGGTATTTGTGGACTTGCATATTTAATTTTATGCACGTTCTTCTAGAGAGTAGAAAGGGAGAGAAGGGAGTCTCAAGCTTTGTATTATGCATGTGAATACTTCTGTGCAAGCCTCAGCTGCCTGTGCCACTGCTTTAGATGACTAAGGTTTCTTTGCTTTAATTTGACAGTGGCAAAGCTCTGTAAGATGTATTTATATGCTGAGTTTGTCTGAATGAATACAGCTGGCAGTGCATGGCTGTGTTGATAGCTGGAAATTTGTTTTTGTTCTTACTTTTGAATATAGGATTAGGCAGAACTTGAGGGAAAAACATGCTCGACACATAGCTGATCTACGAGCTTACTATGATGCTGAGATCCACAGCTTAAAACAGCAGCTAGAGGCAAGCCACAAAACTGCTGCTTCTGAAGACCTGAAGGAAATCAATCAAAATCTTGCAGACAGGTACTGTTTCTTCTGCCTCTGCTTCGGGATGTTATTTCTACCTTAAAAGCTATGTATGCTTGTTTACAATGTCTTTAAGCATTTGTTGTCCCTCAGTTCTGAATGTTTCGTGCATCTGTGATACTGATATTTTACTATTAAGCATACATTCTGTGTTACTTAATGCATCTGTTTAAGATTAGTTTAAAATTACTGTTAGGGCAGCAAGTGTGATGTTTTGACCAGAGGCTTTGTTGGACCTGGCTTTTGCTGAAGGCAGGACAAGTTTTGCTTAGCAAAAGCTGGCAGGCTGAGGTAGTCCTAAGCCATTTGTAATGGAAGAATCAGTGTTGTGAAATGGTGTTTGCCTGTCATGCTGGTGAACATCAACCTCTTCATCTTTCTTACAGGGAAAGTCTGAAATTCACTGGTAGCTTTATAAAGGCAGTTTGGCAGGCAGTGCTCCTTGAGCTGATATTGCTAGTGGAGGCTGCATGCCTCACCTGTATGTTCTGTTTGTTGTAGCTTGAGTGATTACTGCAGAAGTTCAATGTGATTTTAAATCATTATTCCCAGCCAAAATATGTGTTAGACATTTGGACAGTTAAAGTACTTCACAGAATTTATGGCCTTCAGAATAATTGAAAAAGCATGTGGGTAGCCAGCACTCCTTTGTACTCGTCTTCTAGCACTAGTGGCTCCCATCTATTAAAAGTGACTTCTGAGCAGTCATTTACCGAGTTACAAGAAGCCTGTGATATGATTTCAGTCACTAATTATCACACAGCATCATCAATTAGCTCAAGTGGAAGTGGTGCCTCTCAGCTGCTTTTGGCTACGGAGCTCAGAGCTATCTGGAGTCTCTGCACGTGTGCCCAATGGCTGCTTGCCTGGCGCAGCACCGCAGCCCTGCTCTGCAGAGGTGCTGGGTGCTCGTGGCAGTGGCTGGATTCGGTGGTAGGAGCTTACAGGCTGGGCACTACAAGTAGTGGGGATGCTTGAGGAAAGGAAGGCAGCTCTAAAATGTGGCTTTATTGTTTGAAAACTTTGGGATTACAGAAATCTATCTTCCAAATAGGTGTGACCAGTTAGATGCAGCTCTGAATGAAGCGAGCGCTCGCATAAAAGCCCTTGAGAATAAGAATAGTATGCTAGAAAAGCAAGTGGTAAGTATGTGCTCCTGGTGACATGTATGAATTCAAGTTGCTTTTCTAACTAAGGGGGTAAGGAAATGCACCTGTTCGTTGTTAGGCTGCTCTATATTCCTATATTTTGTTTTCAGCCTTTCTCCATAGCACATCAGCCAGTGTGCTGCATGGATGGCTCTCCTAGCTGTGTTTCTTCATACTCCTCACTTGAATCGAGTCATGTTTGCCTACGTGCAGTCCTTTTCAGAAGCCAAAGGAAGTTTAATAGTAAAATACTGTCTGATAATCTCTCCAAAACAGAATTAATAATAAAAAGTCTGATTATTTCCTTTCTGGTTACTCATTAAAGCTTAAAAGCCAACGCCTTCTGCACTAGGGCAAAAATATTATCTGTGTAAGTATAGCTCTCAAGTCCTCCTAGCTAGGTTGTGGCCACTTAGTTTATGACTGAATAGTTAAATTTGTTGGTCAGAGAGCAGGATGTTGTGCCCTGTTCTGATGGAAGTTAGAGTAGTAACCTATTCCACTTTTTAGACATTTTTCTATGTTGGGAAGCATAGTCTTCATTTCAGTTCTTTCTACATAACAAAATGAGCAATATCTTGCATAGTTCACCAGCAGGTAGACCCTTTTGTTCTATTTAGATGACTTCAGATTCAGAAATCATACTCTGCTAGGCAAGCATTTTAATTAATCTGGCTTTTCTTCTTCAGGCAGATTGGAGAGAACGCTTTTATGGAGTTAGTAATACCTCCAAAGTGCTGCAAGAACGTATTGAAGAGATGCGCACCAGCAATAAAGAGAAGGATAATACCATCAGTAGGCTGAAGTCAAGGCTTAAAGATCTAGAGGAAGCATTTGAAAAAGCTTACAAATTATCTGATAATAAAAATACGAGGTTAAAAGAAGAAAATAAAATGTTTCAAAATGTAAGTTTTAAAAAACAACCTGTGTTTGCAATTAGATTGCGTCCTATGACTGCAGCACAGCCGGGGGTGTTCTGTAAAGCTACTCAGAATGTAAGCCTGGCAAGTCTGAATGCACATCTGAGAGAGCAGAAATACCTGGGTGACTGCTTCCTAGGCAGCCATCAGGTGATGGTAGAGCATCAGAACAGAACATCAGGTTTGGTTGTCACTTTTAAACAGTTGAAGCAGCAGTCATGGACTTGATGTGATAACGTTTGCTGTAGTCTTTCTTGGGTATTGTATTACTTTATCTGCTGTTAGTTTATCTTAATTTTAGAGGTACTATTGGAAATCTCTTTTAGAATAAGTTATTTTTTATCTTTCTAATAACTGAATTCATAGGGCAGCACCACTTGCTCAAGCTGTTAATTTAATGTATAATCGTAGTCTGAATTACAATAATTGTTTCTCTGATTCTTTGGTAATGACTTTATGGAATGTTTAAACTGGTTTGTTTTGGGAAACGTGGTTATTAAGTGGAAAAGATATTTGATCTGCAAACTTTTCTTTTTACCACTTCTTTTTATCAATTAAAACTTCAAAATACGAAGTCAGCTTCAAAGCCAGTGATTAACTCTGCTGGTTTGTTCAGCTTCATTGCTTACCAGCTCCTTTAATGATAATTCATTTGACAATTATAAATATTTTAGTAGTTCCTGCTCTTTATTCTGAATAGAAGATACCAGAATGTAACAAATGATATTAAGATACTCTGTCTACCCTGCAATGTTTATGCATGCATTAGACAAGGAATTCAGATGGTTTTACAGCACCCAACAAAAATGTTGGTTCTGTTTAATCTCCTTATGGTTTGTTGTTGTTGCAGCTTTTAGGAGAATATGATTCCCTTGGAAAAGAACACGAAAGGGTAAAGGTGAGTCTGCACTGGCTACTTAAAAATTAAAAAAAAAACAAGCAAGTGGGTAAAGGTCTGTCATAATATGCCATAGAATGATCTGAATTAAGTATTTAGGAAAAGGTCAAACAGAATGTTCTACATTTGATTTTGCTGAAAGCTTCTGACTGCATCTTCAGAGGCCCTGCAAAGGGAAGAAGAGGGAGTTTCAAGTGTGTGATTCTGTGATTCTGTGTAATGTTCCAGTCACAGGCAGGCAAAACGCTGTGAAGTTAAAGGCATTTAGTGGGACTTTATTTCAAATAGAAAGGCATGTTTAGTGCATTACTTTTAAGATTGAAGTTACTTTTTTTTCTTCTGTATACATTCGAATAGTTTCCAGACTTGTTCCTTTTTCACTTGTGTACTTTGTAGGATACATTAAATGCAACTGAAAACAGACTGCTTGATGCAAACACCCAGATTGCTGATTTGAAAAGGTAAGTGTGAATGTGTTGCTGCAGCTTTAAAAACATGCAATACAGGCTGTGGCCCAAACATTTACTCTTAGATTGTAAAGGCTGTAGATCTGCAATTTCAGTCGCATGGTGTGAAGCATTTCATGTTGCTTTCGGCTGCTTTGCACATACTGCATGAATCTTGTTATTTTTCTAGATTCCTAATCTCGCCCTCTTCCAGTGGGAGTTGCTTCCCCTCTGTTGTCACCCAGCTAGTCCAGCCAGTCTTCTGCTCAAGCTTTTGCTACTGCAGTTGTCATCTTCTTTCTAGCTAGGTTACTTAACTTAGTCAGCCTAGAGTTCAAATGCATATTTATGTATGTATTTGTGGATACATAGAGATTAGTTATTCTTGTTCTTCTGCTCCACTCAGGATATCTGAATAAAAAATGAGTGAGCTCCAGGTAATATGGCTTTTAAATCCTCTTCCTTTGCATCCTTGCTATTTCTGCATTAGGACAGTTTCAAAACTCGAAGCTCAGCTCAAGCAGGTGGAGCATGAGAACATGTTGAAACTTCGTCACGTTACCGAAAGTCGTCTAAGAACCTCTTGTGCCAAGTGAGTGAATTTGCCAATAGGATGAAAGTGGGGCACGTGCTCTGCAGTGTTCTTCGTGTTCTGTGGCCAGACGTGGTTCAGGATGTCCATCCATGGGCTAAACTGAATTGAACACATGTGACGAAATCCAGAGACCTCATGTGCCAATAAATGATTTGAAAAAGAACAAACGGATAATGTGTGATTTGGGAGACTGTCTCCAGTCTGTCTACATGCCTTTGCTGGGTCTCAGTTGCTCAGCTGATTAGAGCTCAGCAAAAATTGTTTAAAAAAAAAAAAGTCAAATTGTCCAAGGAGACAGAAGAGTTTTTCTTTGTACCTTTGTCTTTGATTTTGAAAGGCCAGTTATTAGTTTGTTTTTCTAAATATAATTTGTACAGGTATGCTGAGAGTAATATGGGAGTTCAGTTAAAAATGCATGATGTAGTTTGGATTGTGAATTTATGTTACAAAAATCAGAAGTTGATCTCTTCTGTTTTGAGGCTGCTAGACTTAAAAACCTGAATAGCTTTGTCCCTTTGGTTTTGGTACTTAGCTATGATCTCTTGGGCGTCTGTCCCAGTCAGCACTGATGCTGTGAAATATCAAATGATAAAGTAATGTGTTTCATAGATGCTATGTGTATATATTGAACAGCAGCATTTTAACTGTTGTAACTTCAGTATTAGTCACTGACAAGTACAGATTTTTGTTCAGAGCTGTTGTAGTATTTATGAATGAGATTCCCCTACAGTGAGGGAAAGAGGGGAGGGAAGCAAAAACAGAATGTGGAAGATTGTGTTTGTCAAGGAGGAGGGTATGAGAACCAGTTTGTATTTGGAGGTTGATTTGTTGCTTATTAATATTTTAGTGATCTTAAAACTGATTATTTTTTTTTTTTAGCTTCAGAAACGTTTTAAAAAGTAGTTATTTACAGATTTATTGCATGTTTATTTCTGTCTACCTGGAATAAATAATTAATATTCCTATTTCATTAAAAAATAAATATATATGTATAATTCAAATCCATTCAGAATTTGGAATTATATTGCTTCCACAGCAAGTTGGCTGCTCCTGATGTCAGCAGGCGAAAGTGGTTGATACCAGGAGCAGAGTATTCAATCTTCACTGGCCAGCCTCTGGAAGTCCAAGAGAGCCACAAAGATAACAGACTAGAAGAAGCCTATATTCCTTCCAGGTGAGCTGGTTTCTTCAGTCTCCACTGTGGTGTAAGGCTGAACACTTCTAAAACGTAATTTTATTCAGATTGACCAGACTCATGTCCAGATTCTGAAAACATTAAGTAAAGGTGTAAAAATAAACAAATAGATAATATACATACACACACACACAACATATCAATGTTGTAAATGCTATTCCTCAAAAGCTAAACAACATTCTTTCCAGTATGAAGGAACCCAGTGCTAAAGAAACAGCTTTCAGTATGTATTTAGTTTGAATGTCAGGTCACCAAACTTATACTTAGGATTCTTGGATTCACTGTAACACAATCCTCTGAGGTTCCTGGCTGAAATTAAGACCAACTCTAAAATTCTTGCTTTGGCAGCTATAAACTCAAAATTAATTTCTCTTTTTGGTGGTTTGTTTTTTGGTCTGTTCAGTTTGCACTTGGATAGCTGAAATAAAGGTGATAAACTTGATATCTCCCCCTGCTCATTCTTTAAGGTATCATTCTCCTCCTGAAAAAGACTCCTCACAAGAAGACTCTTCACCAAACACAGTTGAAAAGAAGGACAGCGAGATGTCAGAAGCACCAATTATAAAAGCCTTTAAAGAACTTGAAGAAATGAAAGCTTTTAAAGATTGGGGTACACAGACAGAAAAAGATGACACACCAACTAGTAATTTTTTTTTTTTTTAAAATCATTTTTATATTCCCAGACTTGTCTTTACTGGCTTTTCTCTGCACGTGCCTTGGTTTCTTTGTTCTAAGCATTAAGGCACTCGGGCTTCAGTGATGGAACAAGATACATACTTTTTAGCATACAGATTTCTGGAGTCTTCCTAAGAAAATTCCAAATGATGTAGCTAAGTGACTCGTTTAAAAAAAGAGGGGATGCAGTGGTTGCTGTTAGGCTGATGTTCTCTTTCTAAGAATATCTCAGTATTTATAAGCAGTCAATGGAGTCTTAACAAAGTTCAGGCTGGATGTAAATCCTTTGTTTTGTTTTGTTCTTGTAGTGCTGTGTCAGAATGTTATTATGAGTGCTGGTGTTTGTATTGTAGAACTGCACTGAACCGTTCTAATAATGCTTGTTTGGGAAGCCTTGTAACTAGAAACTGTTCTTTTTGTTAACACTTAGTTTTGATTGAGGCAGGTATGCCAGCCTTCTTCACCAAACGGTGCTGCTGTGCAGCTTTGCACTGTTTGTTCATTTAAACAACTATTTACCATCATTTGTCCCTTACGTTCTGCACAGCATCCTCAGTGATAAGCTAGTTAAACGATCTGCTTCGTGGAAATGATGAGCTGAAGTGAGTCTTCAGCAAAGCAGCACAAACTTGTTTGCACAGGGCAGCCTTAGGTGTGGTTGTTGTGAAAGCTGGGTGCAGGAGAATGTTTTTGGGATCTTGTATCAAAGAATAACCCTTTCATTCTGAATTAGAAACATCAAGTCGACGTCAAACCGTTGGGTTTGTAGAGACTTCTGTTGTTGCCAACCGATCCCCAGAGAAAGGCAGAGACCAACAGAGACCCAAACGCTACAGCTCCCCTTGTGGCCAGAGGTCTTCATCTCTTCCTCCCTCAAATAGGAAATCGAATACTCCAAGTGAGTGCTTTTCTGAAGTTTAGTTTGCATTGCACAAAAAGAAAATGCAATAAGGGTATGTAAATAATGGGAGTCTGCACTAAAAGAAAAACAGTGAGAGGTATGATGTCTGTCTTAATCTAATAGATAATACGGGGGGGGAAACTCTCCTGAAATCATAGAAAGCATGAAAATCTCACTTATGTGTCATAATGTACTTCTCATATAATTCAAATAAGCATGCAGACACTTCAGAAAGCATTCTGCAAATATGTAAGCATCGGATCACATAAGTGGGAGATACTGCAAAGGGAGAAATTTCAGGTACTTAAACACACTTTGTCTCTCACAGCAAGGCGAGAGATCATGTTGGCTCCAGTGTCTGTGACATACAGCCCCAAACGATCTCCAAAAGAAAACCTCTCTCCTGGCTTTAGCCATTTACTTAGCAGAAATGAAAACACAGTGACAAGGTATGGATTTTGCAAATACAGTTGTTCTGACAATTGCAATAGCAGCAGCATGTTTATGCAGGTTTAAGACTGTTCCTGCTGTTTCTTGGTCCCCTAAAAAGTCATGGGAAATGTGAAGCACCTGAAGATTTCTATGTATAAAGCGAAGTTTTACTTTTTAAAACACAGCAAGGAAGAATCTGGAATCATTTCTCTTTATTCAGAGCTTACTAGGGGGAGATGTATTTGTTGTTATACATCCTGATGTGACACTGATCAGTGACAAAAACGGTGGAACAGTTTTGTGGAGTGAGTCTGTATTCATATGAAGCTTATTAGGGAATGTAAATCAATGCTGAGAACAGTATCTACCTGTCGTGGCATTTGTAAGCACGTTAAAAGATGCACCAGCTTAATTTTCTGGTAACTGGAACAAGGTAACCATGGTTTCTATAGAGAACTTTGCTTGGCAAGGCTTGCAGAGTTTCAGGGAATGTATTTAATTGCAAGACTAAGGTGTGTGACTTGCACGAAGAAGAAATGTGTGGCACCACTTTGGTTCTTGAGGGCAGCTGTGTGGGCTTCTCAGTGGGGTTGGGAGGGGTGGCTTGGCCTCTTCCAGGAGAAAGTGACAAGAATGTACAAACAGGAGTACAGCAGGGGATGGTGCCAGTAGCACTGTTCAGAAGACCTGGAATTCCTGTGGGGTAGAAGTTCTGTAAGTAACTTATTTAGCCAAAAACAGGAAAAGATAGGGAATACTATGATAAACCTGATAAATTATTTCGGGCAATTAATTGTTGTGTGCTGCTTGTTCTGTAGGTTTGATATACTTCTAGATGACCTGGAAAGCAGTCCTGCATCTACTTTACAGCATAGTAATCCAAGAAAAAGGCTCCAGTTTCTTTCACTCGATGATACAGAAGGTAATCAATCCCTCAAAGGAGGGGAAAACTGTCCCTTGTAATTTTAAGTTTATAAAATGTACTTTTAGTCTCCCAGATGAAACAGTTTGTACTGTAATTTAGAAAGCTGGCACATTGTTCTGTGGAGTCCAATTTCTGAAAATCATCTGTATCTTGTCTTATTACTGTAAATTGAGAAATACTATTCATACATTTTATTTTCATTTGTGTGTGTGCACAGACACAATAGGGAAACAAAAATAATTGAATTGAGAAAGAAGGGCAATATATTCTCCTGTGTTTAACTCAGTTATACAGTGCATAGCTCACAGGGGCCTATATTAAGATGTGCATGCTCAAACTAATAAAATTCCTATCTGTAATGCAACGTTTAGCAATAGAAAGAGTAAATATAATAAAGCCAGTTGTTTGAGATTTTTTTCCACAGTGATTGAACCAAATCTTTCTCACTTCTGTCATTCTTGTCACAATGTTCTGCTTTTGCTTTTATTAATGTATTTATTGAGGCTAGTGTTTTCATGACAACTAGCCTACAAGGTGGTATTTAGAAACGTTGCACCAGTGGAAGTCATTCTTAATGAGCACACTGCACGAGGCTGTTATCCAAAAAGTGTGCTGTGTTAAAAAGATGGCTTGAAAGATGACCCATTGGAGTGGGGAATGCATTCTGCATTCTGCTGGGAGATGTGCTCATGGGAAGCTAACGAGGCTTTGCTGCTCACTGTCCTCGGTTCATATAGTGCTGCTTTGCTTGTTTCTTTTGCTGTCTTAAGTAACAACTGAAGAGGCAATTACAAAACAAATAAAAGCGGTGTTGTTTTTTGATAGGAAGGCAAAGCTCAGGTGTCAGACCCAGCTCTTGTGCTGAATCTGTCAGTACCAGAATGAAGAAAGCAGCAGCTTGGGACGAGAGGAGCGGGGCACAGAACTGTGAGCCAATGCTGTCACCTTGTGAGGGGGACTTCCCATACACACCAAGGACTCAGACTCTGGCTGAAACAGAGAGGCTTTTCGATGACCTGACTCAAGAAAAGCAACAGGCAAAGATAATGTTTATTTTAAAGTTACTGTATGAGAGGTGCATGGTGTGGCTGTACGCCGGCACAGCGCGTGGCTGAAGTTCACATCTGATTTCCAGTATTAACATAGGAATGTGGCATTACCATTCCTGTTCTACCTCTGAAACTAGACCCATTCCTGTCCCTAATGTTGTTAAAGGAGAATCCCTGTAACATGAGCACACTGTGGTTGGAAAGGTTGGAGTAAATTTAAACGGACAAACTAAGAAGTTTGAAATCATTCAACAGTAATTTCTGTTCTCTTCAAAATGATCTGTGAGAGTGGCTGCTCATACATATTAATTTGGTATTTGTGTGGCATAATATCATGGTAATAGAAGTTAGTGTTTAAGAACAACGTTGAGCATGTATCTGTTATCTTTGCCCCTCACCTCTTGCTCTGTAAGATCAGTTAGGAAGGTTTATTGGCACTTGAAACTGTCGCTTACAGCTGAAGTATTTTCTGTTACTAGATTGAGGCTGCTTTGAGTCGAATACCTTGTTCTGGCGGGAGAATGACCTTGCAAGCAAGATTAAATCAGGTGAAAAAGCTTCTACCAACTGCTCTCTTCAGCTGCTTCTCTGGAATCTGAGGTTATGTAGCTTAGGTGAAAGTTTAGGTTTTGAAATGGGTATAAATACAGTGACTGCAAGTATTCTACCACACCACTGAGTGTTGTTCCTTTGTGAACGTGGCTGAAGTTTGAGCCTACATGAAAAGTAGGCTCTGGACTTCATAGATTTCCTGTAATCTTTTAACACTGCCTCAGTGTAATCATAGAGAGTGTGCATCACTTTGTAAGGTGTGCAAGTTTAGATGATTTCTAGTGATTCAGGGGAAAAAAATATATATATATATATGTGTATGTATATATCTCATATGTTTGTTGATCTGAGTCTTGAAAAGAAAGCTGAAAAGAGGAAAAAAAAAAAAAAAAAAAAAAAGCCAACAGCCCACAAATGCACCCACAAAAATAATCAGAGAAGTCTGCAGGTCTGGCTCTTGGTTTTGGGTGCTAAGGCAATGCGTTGGGAAGGATACCAGCTGACTGCAGGAATGGTAGTGTTTTCTTTCTGAAATGAGTATCATTGGATTTTGTTGTCTGTTATTAAATCTTTTTTTTCCCCTTTTTTGTGAACTGTTTCTTTTTAGGAAGCCCTGGAAGATCGCTTGGAAAGGATCAACAGAGATCTGGGCTGGATACGCATGACCCTGAAAAGATTCCATGTTCTGCGTACCTCTGCAAACCTCTGACAATTCTCTCTTGAATTCCAATATGTTTTTTTTTGTTTGTTTGTTTTTTGCACTAATATATAATGATGCACTTGGTAAATGCAAATGTTTTGTATTTTTATAAACCCCCAATAGTAGTTTTACAACCACGTTACCCTTTACACTCAGCAATATTTTGTACTTCAAACAGCCACCTATATTTCAAACATATTTTTGTTACACTTGAGAAAGCAATGTTTATCCTGTATTGTAATATTTTTAGAAATATTGATTATTTTTAAATAGTGATAATTTATAATAAGAAACTAAAAGGCAGCTTGTTTTCTGAGAGTGATTGCGTTTTGCACTCGTTTTCGTCACCATTTTATAAATGTCTGTGGCACGTTGTAAATACTGGCTAATAGGAAGTCTTGACTTTTAATACAAAACATGACATGAGTTGGTGATGTTAGACAACTACTGTTATGCAGCAAATCCTTTCCATTTACATCTGGTGGGTGTTTGTCACAGTGACCAAACTACAAGCAGCAGCAGTGCTTTGATGCCATTAGGCCAGGATTCGTGCAGCTGACAGCAGCCAGCTTTCCCAGCAGCGAGCTCAGCTGCAGCTGGCACTGCAGGACAGCAGCTTGCTCACTCAAGTTGCTGCTTTAACATCAGGGTGGGTTTTGTGCCACGCCAGAGTTCGGAGCACACACTTCCAAGTGAAATCTGAGCTGTCATTGTGAGCAAGACGTGCATTTTTCGTGGTGAAAAATACAGATTTGCTCGTTGGCATACTGTTGAGTTACTGTTCGACATTGATATTTTAGTTTGTATTTTGATATTAAATAAATGTTTAATTAGATTCTTTCTCCCAGCCCAAGGACAATAATAGGATCTGGGATATTACATCAGCAATAATGTAGGTTTTAATCATATTGTGTGTTTCAAGTTCTGTCCTTGTTCCAAATGTTTGGCCACTAATGATGTGATTATTTTGCAGTGGAAAGGCCAGAATAGCTGTGGTGAAGGAAGCTCGTGAAGCTCTGATTCTAATTCTAGAGTGCTGTTTTTTAAAGATATTTAATGAAGAAGTGCCCTACGTTAAGGCACAGTACTTTTTTCTTAGAAGAAGCTTTATTTATTTATCAAGAGCTCTGTGCATCTCCTCCTGCCCTGCGGGTTGTTCTGATGCAACGTCAGAGAAGTCAGGCCTCCAAGTTACTCATTTTCCCTTCTGCTCTAAAATGTTGAAATTGGGCCTGAATGCTTGGCAGCAACTCGCTTGAATATACTTCCAGGCCATACTAACAGATGCTTAATTTTGATGGTATTTCATATTCTTACTTGAGGAGGAAGGAAAAAAAAAAAGCTTCTCTACTTTCCTATGCAACTCTACCCTTCAGCTGAATAAGCTTCTTTCCACCACTTTGAATTATGAACAGGTAGAGTGTAAAAGTACCATTCTAAAGCATCATTGAGCCAGCAGGAGTTCTTCCAAGGCACAAAACTTCACTTGGGTCCATTTAATGGTCTTGTTTTCTTTCATCAGTGCTGGTGCAAAACAGGCACCATTTTCCTGACAGGCATTCGAAAGGAGCAGGTAAATCAATTCAGCTCTCACTGCCTTTCCTCATAACCTCCCTTTATTCCCATTCCATTCTCTCCACCACTATTCATATTCATGTGCTCTTTTTTTTATTACCTCCAGAAAACTGAAGCGTGAGTCACAATTTATTTTTTAATCAAAAGCCCTCCTCCATCTGTTGGAGCTCTTCAGGCTATTTCTGTTCTATTCTAACACTGAAAGGGGGGGGGAAAGATTCTAAGTGGTGCCCTGAGTAAACTTTTAGGCCCCCCTTTTAGCAATAGCTGCGAGGCGCGGGCTGAGCTGTGGCTGCGCGGTGCCTTCAGCCTCATCCTTCCGCGGGGCGGAGGAGCTGCAGTTCCCGCTGGAAGCGGTGGGAGGCCTGAATGCTCGGCGCTGCTGAACAATCGGCCCCGAAGCATCAAAAGAAGGGAAAGTGGGGCACGTTTGGAAAACACGGCCGAATCGCTGTGTGCTCTGCTGGACGACGGCTTATTAGATTTTTTAATAAACCTCTGTAAAGTTCGTTGCCTTCAGCACAAACGCGTTGCCTTTTTGTACAAGAAGAGCAGCACAGGCTGCTTCTGAGCAGCGCTGTAACCGCCGTCCTCGTGCCTGCACACCGCCTGCACAGGACCTGCAGCTTTTGCTCCACCTCGGCGTCGCCGACACCGAGCACCCTTGCAAGGTGTAGTTCTTGGCGGTAACAAACCTCCCAGCGCTCCTGTCCTTCCCGCCCTTCCATTCAAAGCACGCGTAAAACGACCGGCCGACGATCCCGCCGCCGGCCGTAGCCGCGCTCCGCAGCCCCCGCTCCGGGGCCGCCCCCTCCCGCGTAGTGTTGTTCCGCGCGGCCGCCAGGCGGCGCCATAACCCCGAGGCCCGCCGCCGTGCGGGAGCGCCGGCCCGGCGCGGGGAAGGAAGTGGCGGCTCCCCGCAGCGGGGGCACGGCTCGGCCCGGGGGATAAAGGCGTTCGCCGCCGCGGAGCAGGGCCGAGGCTCCGCGCGTTCCCCGCTCTCTCCCAGAGCGCGGAGCCGCGCAGAGCTGGCGGGCGAGGAGCTGCCCGCGCCCGGCCCCACCTGCGCCGGGGATTATGCCAGCGGAGCGCGGGCACGTCGGCGGGCAGCGGCTCGTAGGCGGCGGCGGCGGGAGCCGGGAGCAGCCGGTGCGTGAGGGAGAGGCGGGGGGCGGCGGGCGGACCCTTGGGCGGCGCGGGCCCGGCGTGTTGCGGGATCCCCGAGCGGGGGCTCTGCGGGCTCCTCCCGGGGCCTCGGCGGGACCGGGGGCCGCGGGGTGAAAGTTTCCCGAGCGGGGCGGTCCGTGGCGGGAGCGATGTGTCCGCCGCACCGCCATCCACGGGCGCTGCAGCCATGGCAGCGCCGCGCCTCAGCGATTTCGCTCCGCAGAACGGGGCGCCGCTGGAGGTGGGCGCCGCGCGCCGCGTTCCCTCGTGCCGGGACCGAGAGACCCGGCGCCGGGTCGGCACGGCCGTTCTGAGCCCCGCTACAGCCGCTTCCCCATCCCTCGGGCCGGGATTGACCTCGATTTCGTTTTCGCGGCGTCGTGGGGAGCGGTCGGGGCGCGGCGAGCCCAGCCCTGCCCCGAGGAGGGGGCGAAGGAGCCGCCCGCGCAGCCGCTGCCCGAGGAACCGCCCGGAGGCGCCGGGAGCGGAGCAGCGCCTTCGGGGTACGGCTGTGCGGCCGTACGGCTGTGCCCCGCGGGGTCGTTTCGGGCCTCGGCGCTGCGGGTAGCGAGGAGCTGGGGAGGCGGCCGAGCCCTGAGCGCTGCGTGCTCCGGGAGGGAGAGAGAGAGAGAGAGCGCGCGGCTGTGGGACGGCTCCCTGTGCGCCAACCGGCCCGGGGCTCTCGGAGCTGCCGAGCCCCGCGGGCAGCATCTCTCCCACATCCCCGCTCCCTCCCGGCAGCCCGGCCCTCTCCTGGCGCGCTGCCCTCCGCCCCGCGGCTCGGCCCTGCCGTGCTTTTGTCTCGCATCGCCGCGGCTGAGGTGAAGTTGATGCAGGTTGTGCGTTTGGGAGGAACAAAACCTTCTCCCTTCGTTAATAACCGCTCTGAAGAGAGAACTTCCATCTTCCGCGCGCTGTGGAGCAGCAAGGTGGGTGATGGTTGTGGGATCCCGTGACACGGTGCTGAAAAACGCCTTCAGTCTTTGGCGGCGTCATTCGCTACCGCTGTGCGGAGAGCGGCAGAGCCGTGGTAACAGATGGACCTTTGCAGGTGTGAGAGCTCAGACGGGCAGGGTTTGACTTCGCACTGAAATAAACGCACACGGTTTGCAGGACTCCTTCTCATCCCGCCCTGCCTCTCCGTGCCGTCTCTCTGCTCTGCTGCCTTTTTGCTGCGTGGTTTATTTTTGCCTTGACTGCGCTGCGCTCCTGAGTAACACAGGAGGGCTGATGGTGCTGCAGAGTTCAGCAACGGCACCGGAGCAGTTCTCCACTGCCGAGCGGGAGGCTGCTGCCTGTAGGACAGCCCTGCCTGACCCCGCAGCCCTCGTGCCCCAGGTGCCCGCTGGCCGGGTCAGGTAAGCAGCGCCATCACCCCAACGTGCCTCGGGGACACGCAAAGTGAGCAATGACCCAGCAGGAAAGCGTGGTTGCAGGCGTGTCCCGGCTTGCTGTTGATCGGAGGAATGCTGCTCTGTAGTCCCTGCAGCGTGCTCTGTTTGTGGCGTCTGTGAGAGGGAAGCAGAGGAAATGAGCAGGGCCTGAAGCAGAGCTCGCTGCGCTTCTGACAGAGCGGGCTTCTGGCAGGCCGGTAGCTTGCATTAATCATGTTTAAGTTTCTGTCACCAACTTTTAATTAAAAGCATGGTTGATACCGTTTTAATGAATGTACGGATGTTAGCCATCTTCATGCATAAAAATGCGTTTTAATTCCCTTACTATTCCCTTTATGGCCCTTAGATGCTTTTGTTACCATTTAAACAGCATACAGGAGCAGCTGTTTATCTTCTTAATATAACTTTTTCTTGCATCTGTGTTCAGGAAACAGTAATGGTTTGAGTAAACAGTTCTCTGGTATCCTTTAGCAATATTTTGTAAGTAACTTGGCAGGAGGGTCATAAATGATGTCTGAACGGTGAACTCCAAGGCCACGCTGACAGCAGCCAGACAGAACTGCTCAAATCGCGGGCTGTTACATGAGGAGAGCACGGAGTCCTCAGTGCAGGACTTCTGGTCCCAAGGAGCTGCTCCCAGAATGACAACTTTGTGCTGAAATACCCCTTCTGTTGTCAGTGCTGTATTTCTGTGTGTTTGCTGCTTGTTGTGCATCTAACAGCCCAAGCATTTATTGTGATTTGCCAGCTGGCACGTGGGAGTTTCATCCAACTTCTCATCTTAGTTGACAGCAACCAGTTTGCAGAGATCTTGTCCTGATGATGATTATTATTATTTAAAGAAATACTCAAAACTTAAAACTGACAGCGGTGCTGAGGGGCTTTGAATTTAGGTTTTTTCTGTTCAAAATGAGTTACTGCTCCTGCAGTTGGCCAAACAGAGCATCACATCCTGCAGGCGAGATAATGTAAAGAAGGTGCCTCCAATTAGTCCAAACCAGCGCTAATTTCCCCCCACACCTGAACAGAAGTCTTGTCATTTTCTTAGGAGGAAAAAGCAATGTAAGAAAAACGTGGCTTTCTTGGCCAGTTTCTCTAAGCGGTGAAGATATTTTCTAATTAAACCCTGATGTTGGCTGATATGGATACACAGCTAATATTTCTGCTCATCCCCAGATTAGTGAGATGTGACTGAATGTAATTCTGAGCCTGAAAGCATCATATAAGCAGAAATATCCCAAAGCGCGCAGCGTGAGTGCAAATGGAGTAATTAACGGGTGGGAGGAAGGGGATAAATAAAACGCTTTATTTTTAGCTTTGTTTCCTGGATGTTGGAAGAAATCCAAGTGCCACAGCGTTGTGCTGGGCCTGAAGAGAGTGAACTCAGCCCTGGACTGAAAGGGATGCATGCGGGGTTGTGCTGTGTCAATGCGGAGCTGCTCCTGGTAAGGGCAGGGCAGTGAGCTGGGATGGGTTTGGATCGCTGGCACTTGCATAAGGACAGCCGAGCACGGGATGCTAATTCAAGCACGTGAGCTGGCTTAACCCATCGAGCAGTGACCTGAAAAGGCGTTTCTTGTCTGCAGTAACTAATTTGGAAGGTGGAAATGTGTAATCGCGTCAGCACGTTGAGTGCTCTGCCATATCAGTGTTTCGGGGTGAGGCCTTGTTATCTGCCGCTCTGGCTGAGTTTGATGTTTGCACGACTGTTAAGCTGGCAGCGTGGCGGGGCCGTAATTCCATGATGTGCTTTAAGAGGCTGCAGAGGGATCTGGGGCGCTTAGGGCACGGCCGGGTGAGCTCTGTGCAGGTCGGCTGTGGGGATCTGCTGCAGGGCTTGGAGCTTCCGTGGGAGCCTCCTGGGCCAGGGCTCGGAGGGCAGCACAGGGGCTGAGGGAGCTGGGCTGCAGCACAGGGGCTGAGGGAGCTGGGCGGCAGCACAGGGGCTGAGGGAGCTGGGCTGCAGCACAGTCCTTATGTGCTGGTGTGCAGACACGTGTTCTGTGCACCAGTCTGCACAGTGGGTATGACCTATGACTGCAGTTTCTTTTGAGATCATAGTGTAACTTAGCTAACCTCCTTCTAAAGGTAGAAGCGCCACAGAATCTTTTTCTCTGTGTGGGTGGTTTACCCACTTTAATGCTATATATACTTTTTTTTTTAAAGAAGGAAATAGGCGTTTTATATTTATCGTATCAGTTGAAATCGAAATCTAAATATTTACATCTTTTTTTTTTTCTCTGGATCCGAGGTGGGGAAGCGATGGTGGGCGTTCCCAAGCTGTTCAGTCACCCACTCCCCTGTGTGGGTCGCTTCTGTTACATGGTGCAGGGATGGAGCTCCTGCTTCTCCTTCATGCCTTCTGCTCCACAGCCGGAGCGTCGCCCCAGTGGGACCTTCCCACCTCGACACACCGAGAGCCAGACTCGTGTCATCTCTAACAGAACGTGGTTAGCAGCAAGCTGGGAAACTGGAGGGGGAGTTTAGGACATGGCTGTGTGAATAACTGGGGATATTTTGTGAAAAATAACAAGAGGGGGAGAAAGGCTGCGCTCTTGCTTTCTATCTATCATCCTCATCTCCCCTGCAGTGCTCCCAAGGCTGACTTTCCAGGCTTTTTACAAACAAAGGTGGGAGATGGCTTCTGTGCTAAGCAAGGACAGCCTGCAGCGGCCGTGTGAGATGCTGCAGGTCGGGGCTCAGTGGGAGAGGCAGTGCACTGTGGCCAGGTGTGCTCCTGGTTTCTGGGCAGTGCAGCACAGTGCCTGTTGTGAGTCCAGCACAGCAAACTGATGGAGAAGGACAAGAGCAAATAGCTCCTTTGGTTTCTCACCCTTCTTTTTTAAGCGTCGTTTATCCGGGCTCTTGGGACTCACTATTTGTCTGACCTGTATCTGGGTTGTAAAATCTCATTCCACATCTTAACTTTGATGGCAAACATCTTTCAGTGACTATCCTCAGAAATGTGTTTAGTATGGACACCATGTGTCCTCTATCTGTTTTAGGACTACAGAACCATTTTTAATGCTGTCTTTTGCTTACGTTGAATTCCTATAAATAGGCTTTTCAATAAAGCACATTCATCTCACGCGCTATTGCTGTCAGAGGGAAGTGCATATTTGGGCAAGCCAACTTGAAGCACTAACCTTCGTAGTGCAGCTCCTGTGTTGCTCCAACTTCCCATTCCAGTCTGTCGCTTTGTTGAGGAGTGGTGGTTGCCTTGCTAGAGCTGTGCACCTTGGGATGCCTGCATGATGCTCTGCTCAGAAATATCAGTATTGGAAATGGCAGGGGAAGACTCTGGATGGTAAAACCTCTCAGTTACAGCATCCTACAAACTGGCTTCTTGCAGCAGTAGGGCTTTATGTAAGGCTGTAAGGAGAACTGCTCCCTGTGTTTCCTTCTGTGCCTTCAGTGGAGCTCATTAGGTCAAGTGCCAGATCTGCTGCATCACATCTGCACGGCATCTGGGCTGCGTGCGCAGAGGGGACGTATGAGCAGAGCCTTCTGTCCTGCTGCTTCGTGCCACTGCCCCCAGGAGAAGCAAAGGGGCAGGATGCAGAGCTGCGCCCCGGGGCCAGGTGAGTCAGCGCGCCTTGCTCTGCTCTCTCCCATGTTGTCCGTATTTTCTTGTGCTGGCAGAATTTGTGTTTTACTCCTCTTTAACAACATAGAATGGAAAAGAGATAAAAACGTTTTAGCTTTAACAACATGACCAAAATCATCAGCTAAGCTGTTTGGAGAGACTATTTCTATTCCAGGCTCAAAGGCAAGAGTGTCGTTTGTCTTTGCATCCCCTATTCTTCCTAAATGAAGCGTATGGCACCAGCAGCTTGGAGAGTCACCTCCTGATAACGAGGCTTGGGGTCATCAAAAGAAGCCTTGAAATCAGCTCAGCTAGCATTTGCGAAGCAGCTCGTTGAGATTCCTGGCAGGTACGCTGCGGAGGCCTCCTGCAGTGGAGTCATAGGTGCTGGTTGTTCCTGCCTGTTTTATTTAACTTGCTGTTCAACTTTTGAGGAGGTGCAGATGATGCAGCCTGCATCCTCACAGCTCGTTAGGCAGCAGCTAGCCCGAGCTGCCTGCCTCCCTCGAGCCCTTACTGAAGGCAGGATAAACACAGCCACGCAGCACAGAGCCCAGGGGCTCGGCGTTGCAGCTATCAGAAGGTATTCCATCTGGAGGTGGAAAAAACAGCCCTTACGGGTTTCTTTATCTTGAGGCTGGCAAAGAGCGCCGAGTGAGTGACATATTTCCATTTGACTCATCTGTTGTCAAAGCAGTGGCACCCTTGAGTCACATTAAATGCGAGGCCTTGTAGCTGGATTGGCACATGGCTCTGCTGACCGTGGAGCAGCAGTTTGCTGGTTGTGTTTTGCTTTCGTCCTTGGTAAGAGAATTCCCCCCTCCCTCCTTGAGATGAGATTGAATTGATGAATGCTATCGCTAATATTATGGCTTAAAAATGACAGGAGAGCCTGATTCAGGTGTGATGCTGGATGTGAGCTCCAAAGATGTTCAGATAACAATTTAAAACCCTGGGGAAAAAAAAAAAACGAGTGCCCAGTAGCCAGATGGTTGGAAAAGAGCTCCCCACGATCAATGAGGCAATATGTAAATATTTTCAATCATTACCACAGTACTGCTGTGTTGACATTGAAATTCAAAGTGCTATTCCATGGGGCTCCTCATTGATCAGCAGATGAGCTCTCATAAAACGGAGGATAAAAGCACGATGCTGAGAATTATTATGGATTGTGGGCTTCGTTGACAAGGACAGCCTTCCATCAAGGTCTGCAGAATGGATTTTGAACCCCCTTTGTGTGTTTCTAACACACAGTGTTTCTTTTCTGGCTGTCAAGTATGGATTAAGTGGTATGTTATTTCTTGAGCTGTTTTATTTAAGGTGAAATGCTGCATAGCCGACTAACTTTGCTTTGTTAATTACCCTATTGATATGGGAAGTAGTAGAAATGAGATTGGTTGAATAAAAATAGATTTTTTGGGGGGGAAAGTCCTTCTGAAAGCAGGCTGCAGAGATCTGAATCTGGCTGATTCGCTTAGCAATCTTTCCAGGGGTGACAGCATTCTCATGCATAAAGCAGTGCTTTTAACATAAGCGGGTGCTGAGCCCACCAGGAGGCCTTTTCTCCTCCTCCCTTTCTGTTTCCACTCATGGAAGTGTTCTCCTTGCAGCAAGGCCTACACCTGGTGCTCCGGAGGTGCAGATACTGCAGCATCAGGCAGGGGCAGATTTATCAGGTGCCTTCATGAGCTGCTCAGTTTTTCTCGTTAACTGCTCTGTTTATCTTGTGTTCATTAATTCTCTCTGCTGCCTGGCACATCCTGGAGCCTTTTCATTTGATTGCAGAGTTATTCAGGGTTCTGATATTATTTCTCTCTGGTTCATTGCTTTTTAGTTGCTCCTTTATATCCCCTGATTGTTTTAGGGTAAGTAACTGCTGTGGGAATGGAATACACTTTCCCTGAGGATGGAGGACTGGTGTGACTACCTGATGCTGATGCCTACAAACCAGGGCCATGGGTGTGCAACGACAGCTAATGTGAGTCAGGGTGACTGCTTAGTGCAGGTAGTAGGAAGCAGTAGGCTGAGCTGAAACATCTGTGGTGCTTGCTAGGAACAGTTTTGACCCTGGGTGTTTCCTAGGACAGGACCTGCCGTGCATATGGATGCGTCTGGGTTACATAGGGCTCTGCTCCTGAGCACGGGGCCAGCGTGTGCTGCTCTGTGGCTGCCACCATAATGTGTGCTCAGGCTGCAGCCAGGTGGGAGCTCTGCCTGCCCTGCCGGTGGGAAGTGCCTTAGAGGTGGCTGTAACTGGTCCTTCTGGGAGGGTGGGCTGATAACTGAAGTGCAGCGTGCTGGTTAAGCAGACAAGCCTTCAGAAGCCAGCAGAAAGCATCTTGTGATTAATCGTCCTCCTCGGAAAGGTAAATGGCAGTTAGTTCTGTTAGTATAGTGCAGTGTTTTCAACACTTATACTAAGCAGGAGCAGCTTGCTGCTTGCTGGGTGGCACCTCGTCCTCCCCCCGAATGTGTTTGCTGTGATACTGTCTGCTCACAGCTGCACTCTGCTTTGGTTTGCCTCGCAGTGTGCATCGTGCTGCCGCAGTGCTGATGTGATCACTGCAAGGGTCTGGCACTGCAAGGGTCTGGCACTGCAAGGGTCTGGCACTGCAAGGGTCTGGTCCTGGGCTGCCCCAGCTCCCCGCACCTTCCTTGGAGAGATGCTTGCCCCAGGTCCTTGGGAGGGTGGGAGAAAGTTTGTAATGATCAGCACTTGCTACTGACCCATTATAAAAGTGCTCCTCTGGGAACTCTTGTATTAACTCAGAACTTACACAAGTTTTTGTTGGGTTGATTTGTCCTGATGGTTTGTTTTGGACAGACGTGCCCTCAGGTTCCAGCAGTGCAATGACAAAACAAGCAAAAGTAACTGTGTTTGATTATCAGTTACTACAAGATACCTGAAACACAGGGTTAATTGTTATTAATCTGAAACAGATTAATTTTTATTTTGATGTTTAGGATTGGAACGTAATACTGAAGTTTAAATTTAGGATTGATAAGCTGTTCTGACACCTATAAATAAAAGCAGCAATGGCATCGGTGAGACCTCTGCAAACTGCAGTGATGTGCTGAGCTGGGCATACAGCAAAGGTGAATTTGTATGACTGTTCCAGCAAACAGGTTGTATAAATGTCTCAGTGTCCCAGGCTGCATTCATTATCTGCTGCTTACTGCAGAGAAAATGCTGGTCTTTACATTTTTCCAAAGGGAGTACTTTCAGTTTCTGTTGCTCATAAAAGCTTTTGCTTTTAATCACTTTTGATTTCAGTATGACTAGCAAGCAGATACAGACCTGGCCTTCCGTTTGGAGCAATCGTTTCAGACACGCTGTCACTGAAAATAAGGAAGTTTGTCATCTTTCCCCAGTCTACAAAAAAAAAAAAAAAAAAAAAAAAAAAAAAAGGAAAACCCAACCCTGAAACAAAAAATTCAGGTAGAGAGATTGCTTTCCTCAAAGAGTCATTGTGTGTACCTTGCATGTTGATATCAGTGCCTGACATGGAACCTTTGAGGCAGCCCCACGATGTGTCAGCTGAATGATGACATTTTGTCTGAGTCCTTGAGTCCCTGCCCTGTGAGAGGCCGGGCAGATGGAGCTCTGTGCTGACTCCATTTTCAAGACACATTTCTTTGCCTAGCATCTACCCTGTGAAAAGAAGCATGGAATGGACATTACACCCTGGATTCATCAGTTCTGGCACAAATTACTGCATGACGTTGAGCATAGCAAAGCTTGCTCAGATGCGTGTCGGCCTGTTGGGCTGTTCCCATCGTAGCCCAGGTCCACTCACAGCTTGTGGCTGCGTGGTGGTTGGTTCTGAGGTGGGCTCAGCCACCTGAAATCCAGCTGTTGTGACAGTGTTTCAGCCAGGCTGGCAAAGCAGAAGTGGCATTTGTGCCCCGTGCAACTGGCTCAGCTGTGAATCAGCAAATGACGTTAATAAGCGTTTGTGGACTAAATATATTTTTAAGCTGCCTGGCTGCTTGCTCTTGGCAAGATCTCTGAGATTAATGGTCCCAGAACATTAGCGAGACAGGATGCATCAACCTGTGCAAGAAGGAGCGAGAGTAAGGAGCAATCACACTTTTCTTCTGGTCCTTAACATTTGTGGCGAGGTCTAAATGTTCTCTGAAGCAGGGTATCCCAGCTAAAGGTATCCGTTGTTTTTTCCAGTCTTTTTGCTTTGGAGCAGGAAACAGCAGATGTGGGAGTATTATTGCTGTTTTCCTGTGGCCCTTTGGCTGCAGGTGCTGCTTGGTGGCTGGGATGCTCCCACACACCACCTGCCCCCAAAACAAAGGCTGAGGAATTAAACAGACTGAAGGAACCTGGGGATCCTCGGGAGGAGCCGAGGGAGGGGAGCACACGTGTGACCTGAAATGCTCGCCAAGCACTGCAGAAGCATCATTCAGAATAGCTTCTGGTACTTGGTGGGAGGACTGCGCCCTTCTGCAGGCGGTGAGGGGCTCACAGGGCGGTGAGGGCAGCTCTGCTCCCACAGCGTGCGGCCCTGCACATCCCTGGGGGCTCTTTGGAAGAAGGCTGCTGTGCAATTGGGGTTTTTTTTGCTATTTCATTTTAATTTTTTAAATTTATTTTGATGTGGAATGAGGTCTGCAGTGGTTTCTCCTTCATGGAAATCCTTCAGCGCACTATTTTAAAAGGGAAATGCTTTAGGGGGAAGCTGTTCTGTCGCACAGCGAGAGCGCAGGAGAGTGGTCAGCGTGCTGCATGTGTGTGTTTGTCTTCCCTCTGTTTTTTTCCTTTTTCTTTTTTTTTTTTTTCAAATTTCCATGAGTTAGAGATGGCGATGACTCACGGCTTGGAATGCGCTTTAAATCCCCGAGGTGCTCATTGCCGCCTACCATCACGTATTGAATTTCTGACATACCGGAGGGATGTCTGCAGAGAAACTCTGATGTGCAATTATAAAACGTTGTAGCTGTGCGTTGTTTGCATAGGAGCCATTAGCATGGCATAACTGTGAAAATAATGCAGCTTTATTCTTGCACTTGATTTCCCATGGGCAAGGCAGTTAAGCAGCTGTGCTTTATCGTTTCCTAGGTTGTTGACACGTGGACCAACAGTGACATCCTTCTTCGGCAATGCTGTCTTTACTCCCTCCTGCATTCAGAAGCATCTAGAGAGATTTCTTGCCGAAGGTAGGTTCTGGCAGTTCAGCTGCATGGCTGTTCTGTTCCTTCTGTGCCAGAAGAAAGCGTGTAGATGTTACTAGGGAGAATGGTAAGAAGTCTGATGGAGACTAGTGTGCTGCTGCTGAGAGAAGGAATCAACCTTACCTTGGGTTGCCCTGGAATAGATAGGTGAAATGAATAGAGTGGAGTCTGGAAGAATGGCCTGTAGGTTGCCTTAGAGAAGGGCTTGGCAGTCATGGAACGTGGTTGGCTCCTAATGCTTAGATGTGGATTGGTAATAGAGCTGTTTTCAAAGAAAACTCGCGCTCCACACCTTTTTGTGCTCGGTCAGCGTTCTCATTTATTTGAAAGAATTCAAATAAACCAAAAGGGGAAACGGCCAGGCAGGATGTGTGATTAACATACATTTTGTGTTTAAATCTTTTGTGGGTCTCACCCCTCCTCCCACCCCCCCTCTCCCCCTGCCAAAAAAGGGGTTGGTCTGAAATAAACAAGTGTGCACCTCCTGGTACTGCCATGACATTGTGTTAGCTTCTTATTCTTATTTTCCTCTCTGAAGTCCTAACTAACTTGACGTTTTCAAGAGAATTGAGATGCAAAACTTCCACAGCAAAAAGTGTAGATGGGAGCAGAGTACCCTGTGGGTTCTTTAACAAGCAATTCTTAAGAGGTTTGGTGCTTTTTGTGATTTTTGTGCACCCTTGTGCTTCAGCTTGCAGAGCGTAGCTTGTGGGTTTGCTGGGTGCCTTTCCAGCTCTACTGAGCTTCTTTTATGTGATATCTAGAAGTATGTCTCATAGTCTGTACACAATTACTGGCTAAATGGGAAATTTTCAGTAGATGGAATGGCAGCCTTTACCTGAATGGGATGTTTTGCATCTTCTTGTTTTCCTCCAGTGCATTCCTTGCCACCTAGTTTTTTTCCCCTGTCAAAAAAGGAGTGTTTTTAACTCTTAGATCCACCAAACATTTTGTTTTGCGTTGACATGGTGATACAGCAATTTTGGATTTTTTGCTGCTCGATGCTGAAACTCAGAATTGTTGGCTTCTAGTTTAAGAGCAATGGACTGCTGCAAAGACCAGAGAAAGGGTAAATGAATTTGGGTCTGAGCTGTTTGCATGTCAGACTAAAATATATTTTCAGTTCCTCTGGACTGGTACTCAAGTCGCAGCAGTTACACAAAAACCACAGTGACACCAGCTTTGTATCGACGTGCAAAGCCAAAAGCCCTTGAAAACTAAGGGTTATTTGACTACCTTCATTATCTCTTGTCAGCAAATTGACTCCCAATGAATTAATTGACATTCCCTGTGCTGATACCCTTTCCAAAGCCTCTTTTCAGCATCAGCAGGATCCAGGGCCAGCTTAGGCAGACTGCTAGCCACACTGCAGCCCATCCTTTGGTGAGATACCCCATTTCTTTTGAGAGTCCAGCAGCTTCTCTCCTGCACACTGCAGCTCTGACTAAGCTGTGCACAGCTCTCTGTGGGAGCAGTCGCTGCTGTCAGCAACTTTACTGGAGGAGCTGATGCTGCTGTAAGAATTTGCTCCTGGGCTGAGGGAGGACACTGTGTCTCAAAAGCTGCATCTCCCTTGTCATAGATCACTCCAGGTCTCCTCACTCCCCTGTAGGCTGTTGTAAAGGAGAGAGTGTCTGAATTAGTGGTAGCAGCAAAGAAGCGCTGTCCTAAGCCATGTTTAGGGTTTGCTTTGTTTTGAGGCTGTGGGACTGCTCTTTTTGCTTGCCTGAAGGACTTGGCACTCTTCAGGGCTGACATTCCTCTCTGCAAGAGGTGCCTGAGTGGTCATTAAGAGCCTGCGCTGGTGAGGGGAAACTGCCTTGGTATTGTGTTTGCAGCAAAATGAATCCGTGCAGCTTGCGTCACTGGAGAGCAAGTAATGTCCCTGGATTGGCAGGTAAGGAACATAGGGAGAAAAATGGCTTTTAAACCGTGTCAGGGAATGCAGTGTTCATGAAAACAAAGAGCTGAATAACAATGTCCAGAGCACAGGGAAGTGCTGTAGGCACTGAGTAATTTCCTCCTGTCCTATCAGCATCCCTGTGCAGCAGGACCTCTGAACAGAGGAATAATGAGGAGAAGAGGGGCCTCTGAAAGTTGTACCTGGAGTATTCTGCGTGGGATTGTTTTGAAATCTAGGAGTACGTGCTGAATCCCTGGCACAAGCAGAAAAGCAGAGCAAACACTGAGGGGTGCATATATAAGTGCCTGTGATGCTCGAGCACAGCTGTGGGACCACAGCAAGCAGTCTCAGCTTGTGGGAGCAGCATGATGGGGGAGGTGGATGATGGTGGTGCAGATAAGGAGGTGCCTGCTGCCCTGACCCCCTCAGCACCATTGCTTCTGGCTGTCCAGGGACACTGCACTGCCTCTGACTTCTGCCTCACAGCTGCAGGAGCTGGGATGGAGTGAATGATTGCCTCTCTTTAAGAAGGAGCAGAGGCCGAGGTTGGGCAGGAGGCTAATGTATCCATAGTGTGCTGGGGAAGTGGTGGCCCCTCTGAACTGTGAATGTACTGTCAAATGGAAGCCCAGGTCAGCTTTGCACGTGGCTCCTTTGTGCCTTGCTGGCAGCACCTGCACATGAGCCTGTAGCACTGTGCTCTCTTAGGTACGTTTCTGCCCAGGTTGTGTAACGTGATGAACTTTCCCTTTCTAGAGCATTGTGTTCTTCTACGTGGACACAGTCTAGGGCTGAATTTTACTTTTTTTTGTGCTCTGTTTTTATCAGGGGACTCGCTCCGCAACCTGTGATGTCAGAATAGGAACAATTGTAAGGGCTGAGTTTAATGAAAGTGAACTGAATTCAGCACCATCTGTTGCTGTGTTGGATCCTTCGCAGAGCATGCTGCAAAGCACCGTGCAGTGAGTTAGATTGAGGTGATAACACTTCAGAGAGGTGGGTGATGGCTGCTGTCGTACCAACAAGGAGGGCAGCCCTGCTAGGCAGCCTGACAGCACAGCTGTGATGTTCCCACACCTGTGTGGAACGGCGTGGCTTCGAGTGGCACTTGTTACGGGGCCAGGCAGTTTGATGTTAGGAAATTGCTAGTGTGTGGATGGATGGGTTTTTTCTCTTGGTCATTTTCTTCCTTTTTATAATAGAAACACTAGATGAGTAGTGGAGGAACTGTTTGGACATACGTATTTAACTGGGAGGAAAAAGCTGTGACGCTAACCACAAACTGACGGTTTCCTGCTGCAAGTAACTTTCTATAGATCTCAACCTCATTCGTTGTGTCTGTGCTGCTGTTTAAACAGCTGAGGAAGATTCTACTGCTTCTAGGCTGCTTATTTTTGACAGTCTTTGTTGTAGCAGTTTGGGGATGGTGGCATGAAGAGAAATCATTACAGATCTAATACAAATTCAGGATTGGTGAAGTCCAGAAGGCTTCTGAATCTTACGATCTTGTATAATGTAGAGGTTGAGAAGCAAAACCTTTAAACACATGGCAGATTGATTTTTGTAATTACATTTGCATGTGTAGAGCTCTGTTTATTTCGGGGGAGATGGGATGTAATTGCATGAACCTACCTGTGTGACTGAGACCTCTTCACCCACGACTGCAAGCTTCAGATTCGCCTTCCACTCCCCATCCTGCTTTGCTGTGATGTGTTAAATATCACAGCTGCAAAATCGAGAGCAAGTTTCTCCCTGCCCTTCCCATTGCAGCTGGAAAGCTTGGCCAGATCCTTCCCCTGTGGTTTGTGACACTGTAAATAAAGGCTTGGGAGGTCACACGTTTTCCATTTCAAGTTATTTTGTTTCCAGCACTGGAATGGGTTTGGGGGGGGGGGGAGGAGGAAAGAAGCCGCCGGCGGCCCCCGAAAGAAACAAACAAAAAGCCAAACTGATCTAGTTTATTGCAAGAAAAACAACTCAGCACTCAGCAATACCAAGTGGAAAACAACTGGGGGAAAAGAAGGCTTCAGACTTTGAGTGAAGCTGAGAGTTGGAGAATTGGAGTAGAAGATTTCACAGGAATCCACTGTTAAGATTTGAAAGAGAAGCTATCTACAGAGTGAGAGCTCTGAACACTCCTGTGTTCAGGAGTGCTCTGAACACTCTGAACTGCTCCTGTGATCTGGTGCTTTTCCTGAGGGGTTCTGAAAAATTATCTTTAAAGGCATGTTGATGTGACTCTGGAAGCATACTGGTGAGTAATTTCACCTGCGTTCATAATGAGCAAGCCTCGTTAATACGGTTACTCATGTGCCTAAATGTCAGTTAAGTGAGCTTTGAAATGTGGAGCTGAGAAGTTCTGCCTGTGGGTCTCGCAGGCTGTGATGCATTCTGTGGTTTGATGCCCCTGAGTTGCAACTTCCAGGGCTGGAGCTGACCATAGTTGGTGGAAAGCACGCAGTGCTCGCTTTGCCTGCTGCACGTAGGTGCACAGGTACAGTTCTGCCCTGATTTGCAGGAGCAGAAGTGCTGGGATGGCTGTTAGTGCTGTTACACTCAGCTGGTGTCCTGCATTGGGCAGGCTTGGTCTTCTTGGCTGTGGTTCTTTCCATGTTGATGTTTGAGGTTTTGGTTGTTCACAGAAAACACTGCTTAGGTTTAAACTTCTATTTCATGCATTTAATTTTGATACTTGCAGCATCCTGTTTTGGATTTACTGAGAAATGAGCTGAGAACCAGGTCTGGTGGGCTTTATTACTGACTGGTGCTATGCAACGTGATTAATGTTGGCTTGCTGGGGAGAGGCAGTTACTGACAACTGTGTCACCTATTTCTGTTGAGTTTTGAAGAGACCTTTTCCTGGCAAAGATTTTTTTTTTCTTTACCTTTATCAAAACAGGATATAAAAGTGAGTATATTTGCTGCTAGAGAGTCCTTGTTTACCTTGATGCTACGGAAACATTTCTTCTTCCATAAGTCATTGCATTTATAAGTGTACAGCAGAATCAAAAGAGAATCATTCTCTCTCTAGATGTTACTCTCTGTGCAGATGGTCTTTTGACTCAATGACTTTTCTTTCTTG